TCCGTTCTGGAGGGTCTCGTTCAGGACCTTTGCTGGCGCCCAGCAGAGCAGTGTATCCGTGTCGAGCACACGCATCAGATAGCTCAGGATGTCCGCCCTAATGTTTTCCCTTCCTTCCCTATCGGCGGCCTCAATATCGATTGCACGGGCGGCGAGCGAGGTCATGGGGATGTAATCGTTCTTGAGGGCCTGCTGCGCACTCATGAGGAGATCCCACTCGAGAGCAATGGCGGTCGCCAGCTGGGGCTTCGACGTGGGGACGGTGAGGATCTGCTTGTTGGGCATGCGGACGGGTCGATGGTCGAGGAAGACTTGAAGGCCGCCCTCGCCTTCCGTGACTGAGACGTCCTTCCAGAAGCGCTTGGCCAGCATGTTCTTGGGCTTGTTGTTGGTGGGGGCATAGACGTCGCGCATCTCCCGCGCCTGCTTCATCATATCCGCCTGCCTCCTCTTCCTCGCAACTCGTTCGGATGCATCTGATGGCTGTGGCTGAGGCGTCTCAGGCGGTGGCCCGGGAACTGTCAGACGTTAATTACTGGCCATGTTGGCTGCACTGGTTTGTCGTACCGGATGGATGAGGCAGCGGCGTGGCGCCTCGTGTGGCTGATGTGTGTAGACATTGGTAGAGCGGCCGGTAGGCTCTCTGGGGCGCTGACAGCCGTATGCTGGCGAGTGCTGGGCGAATTGACTCCATGGTGGTGCGGAGCGACTGTGCAGATGGCTTGGACGCTGTTCCCAGGCCGAGTGGGACCCACCGGGGCGACTTTTTCCACAAACGCGCTTGGACACGGTCGCTGTAGCGTCGACCGACGACCCAAATCTGGGGTTCTCCGCTCCGCAACTCAGACCACTCCCCGTCAACTCACTTCCGTCGGGGTATCAAAGTCACGTCGTAGCGCTTGCCGATCTCCTCGAACCGGCTTCTCTGAATATGCGCTGGCTTCCCCACAGCTCCTCGTTACTTTGCATGTTCTCCACTGTCTGGTCTGGCTCATGATCGACCCTTGACGCGCATCTGGCAGCTGTTGTTACCCCACTCAAAACTGCTTTCCCTGCATCATCGAGACACGCCTTTGATGCGGCCATTTCCGCTTGCTTCTGAGAACACACTCTGCTTTTAATGAATCAAGGAGCCCCTCAGACGGCCTCTGCGAACGCTGCCGTGTCTCAGCCCAAGCCTATTCGTTTTGTGACGAACCATGATGGTCCCTATGCGAAGAGGCGTCGCATTAATTCCGCGTGCCTGACATGCAGGAAGAAGAAGACGCGATGCTCGGGTAGGAGGTTTTGACAGTCTTGACTATGGTTTGCTGACAGCAGAGTAGGTGAACGGCCTGTATGCGGAACTTGCATCCAGAACAAGCATGAATGCGCCGGCTATGGCGACGACAATGGCGCAGGCGAAACCCCAAAGGATGGCAAAAAGGCAGCGAGAAGAGAGAGTACCGTGTCGACCAGCACGCCTTCCCGGAAGCAAGAGCCGCCCATCGACCCTCAGCTCACGCGACCGCATCTGCCGCATACCACATCGCAAACCTCGGAATCAAGTCTCCAGGCCTCGCCCAAGGTAGAATCAACTGGCAGCAGTGGAGGTTTGAGTCTGAGCACCCGCAACCGAATGCCATACTTCAGGTATTTCGGGCCTACAGCCATAGTACCCGGACTGCGACAGATGGTCGTCAAAGTGCGAGGCAAGCAACATGGCAGTGCCCAGACTACATCAGATCGTAAGTATATCCCGCGCGCGACGGACTTCAAGCTCGTGATGCGGTTATCGAGGAGCACTTGCGCCATTGCAGCGCAAACACTCTCTTGCTGCTCTGCTGTATTCCCGTCTCATGTAGCTGACTGGTCCAGAACACGCAATCGAGTCCTCGCCTGCACAGCCATCAGTTGGCTCACCACCAGCGCCAGAAGCCCGCACGCCAGCCGAGATACCCGTATACGATGCCTCGTCAATGTCACCAAGTCCGCTCATCACCCATCTCTGTAAACTATTCTTTCTACACCTTGGCTGCTCTTTCCCCTTCCTACAAAGAGAGCGCTTTTTGCGAGACTTGGAAGAGAAGCAGGTGGATGCTATCCTCGTTGACGCTGTCTGTGCGTTAGCGGCCCGGTTCTCGACACATCCTATGCTGACAGGCAAGAGCGACCAACAGAAGGATGATGGAACGGAAACTCCACAAGTCCCGCCTTCAGAACACGGCCAAGCCTTTGCCCAGCGAGCAAAATCAGCTATTCCAGATGCTTTTCCATGTCCTAGTGTGGCAGTGGTACAAGCTGCGTTACTTCTTGCATACGATGAATTCGGTGCGAGCCGCGACAGTGGACTTTGGATGTATCTCGGTATAGCCATTCGCATGGCGCAGGATCTAGGCATGCAGTCTGTGGGAGGTCTGAAGTACGAAGGTCGCAAGGGACCAACACCAAATTCCATCAAGAGCTACCCAGATGGCGGGCGGCACGCGGAGCAACCAATTATTCAAGATAGCCACGGGAGTAGTGCGGAGGAGCAAGAGCAAAGAGCCGCTGAGCGTGAGAGGCTGGACACTTTTTGGTCGATATTTTTCCTTGATCGCGTCATATCTTCTGGAACGGGACGGCCGGTCACCCTCCGAGATCGCGATATCGAAATCTCTTTCCCTTCCCTGGATGAGGTCGACTCTTCTGGATGGCCTTTGCCATATCCGGCACTGATCCGTATCATTCACCTCTACGGTCGTGTGACTGATCTCCTGAACCGGATAAGAAGCGCCGATGACATCACAGCTGACTTGCAGAAGCAACTCGGAGCATGGGAAGATCGCTTGACAGGCATCTACCAAAACCTGTCGCCTAAGCTTCACTTCAACGCAGTCAACTTCCAGCAATATGTTAAGCTCAATCAGGGGACGAATTTCCTTCTACTGCATTGCTGGTTCCATACTCTAATCGTTCTTTTGCATCAGCCAACGCTGCTCCGGACGTTCGAAGGAACTCCACAGTCTTTGTCGACTAACAGCAGAGAACTTTCCATGTCTTCTGCCAAGACTGTCGCTGATATACTAGCCTTTACCGAGCTCATTGATGTAAAAACTGGAATTGGCAACCCCTTCACCAGGTATGATCAGGTTACGTCTTTACTGATGGTACCACACACTAATCAAGCTTTAGTCAACCAATATACATAGCTGCGTGTGCCTTCCTTAAAGAAACAGCACTTCACTCAGCATCGTCCCAGCCTCAATCTTGTCCTGCAAGTCCCGGTCGAAACGGGGAGAACGGACAAAAGACCTCTACTCAACATTCCCTTGACCGTCTGAATTCCACCAACAGCTCTGTCAAAGACTTAGAGCAAAAGCAAACAGCCGCTAAGCATACATTGCTTGCCTCTGCTGCCAACCAAAATTATCAACGTTGTTACCGCGCCCTCAAGGCCTTGGAAACATACTGGGCTGGAGTCAAATACATTATGACTGTTTTGGATCAAAAGGCGAAAGGCGTTGGTGATCCTCTGCTGTACACAACCGAAGAGATGGAAAGTGCATTAGAAGCCCCTCGACCTGAGCCATCGTTCACCAGTCCTGGCTGGAGAAGGAAGCTTAGCTGGGGGACCTATCTGACAGCACAAAATTCAGATGCGGATGTAGCAAAGATGGCGGCTGCGATACGCAAGGGTGCGAGGACGCCAAATATGCCCGGCTCGCCAATGGTACACCCCAGCCAAGGTACGTTCCTTATGCACACAACCATGACCACCTACTAACCCTCGACAGCCATCGGATGGTCGCTTACTGGTACTATGAACTCGCCTTCAACAAATGTCGCAGTTATGTACACATCCGAGAATGGTGAAGGTCGGAGCACGAAGCCACCACCTACAAAAGTACCTCCAGCCAGTACTCAGCCCTCCATCGCTTCGTTGATATCGGATCCTCCCATCAAATTCGAGCCACGTCATCAATCTCTACCGTCACCTTCCGCTTTCTCGCAGTTCAGCTCAGCGTCCATGCCACCGCCCCCGCCAAACCCATCTTTCAACCACATCCCTACCCCAGACCCGGTCTTGGTGTCAGATGCGGATCTCCTCTTAAACCTACACTCTCCGTTCTCTGGTGGCTCACCGTCAGCCATCAGAACGCCACTACAAAATCCAACGTCGTACACACGTTCATCTTCACAACAACACAACCAATTACATCCTACCCCTCAAACAGAATTCTCGCCCACTTTCGGAACTTTCAACACACCTTCAGACAACACTTTCGGTGATATGGTCATTGATACACAAGACGTCGATATGTCCCTTTTAGGCGCTGATATGATGCCTTGGGACTTGGAGTACTTACCACATGACATGCTTTATTTCGGCGATGGCGGCTTTGGGAATGGTGGGTTTGCGGGTGATGGCGCGTCGGGGGATCATAATACGGGATAACGCTTTCGGCCACTGTCACACAATGTACATTAGGGACAAACTTTTGTGGAGTTTTATGTTTTTCAAGCCGGAATATCGGGGTTTTCCATTCAGAGGGAGGATTGGACTCGAGTGGAGTTTGATACCATTCTGCTTCTTACATGTATGAATTGAGATGAGAGAGAATTACTATATCAAGGCCCCGACGTAATAGTTTTGCTGCAATTTGTCGACTTGATGTCACGGATGTCGGAGGTCCGCAGGTATCTTAATTTCGATAATGCATAAGTTGAAAAGTATCCAAGTTCTGTCGCATTTGTGTGCGTCATGTGCTGAGGTCTTGCGTACTATGACAAAAACCCAATCAGCCCGCCACCTGTAAATCGATGTGCGATAATGAGAGTAGTCTGAGCCAAGAATTTGCGTTCCTGGGAACAATAATGTCTTTTTCGTTGGGTTTTGCTGCTTGCGGCTGGCTCGAAGAAGATCTTGGATAGAAGACTGTAACACGGTCGAACATGAAGCACGTTGGGATCAAGTAAGGGTATTTGTGTCAAATCGAATCAAAGTATTTGGTATTTAAAGTAACCTGAAGTACCTAATATTACCAGACGTGATCTAACCCATGCACACAGTCCAGATCGCCCGAGTCTGCATAATTGGTACCTGGAAGATTATCTACAAGAAACCACATCGAGTGGTCGTCATTGGCGTCTGTCTGCGTCGAGTGTACCGTGGTACCCGCTGTCACTTGAGGAAAGTGTGGGTAATCGTTGAGATCAAGATACTGATTTGGGTCGAAGTGTTCTTGAGGCAACTCGTTATGAACACCGGTAGCGGACAAAGCAGCTATGCTGATAGAGTCGTAGCCCGAATCTGAAGAATCAGATATGGGATCGGTTATCTCAGGGACTCCTCCGCCTTGACAAGACGGTTCGCAGATCTGTAGTTGAGATGGCTTGACTTCTGGTTTTGTTTGCAAATCTGTTGATACAAAGTCGTTGAGCGTGGTAGGTAGATGCGCATCAATGGGGCGCTCGACGATTTGCTCCGACATTATAGCTCTCGAGCTCAGAGTACCTTCTACCCTCGTATTGCTTGGCCTAGCAGCTGTTTGAAACATTGTCTCAAGCTGCATCTGACATTGCCTAACAATGTCCACTAGTCGTTCTTTCAGCCTGTCCTCCAGTGGTTGAGCCTCATGTTCTACTATACTCTCTAGTGTACGGCGTACGAGACGTGGGAGCTCGAGACGCGAGAACTCTTGGAACCGGGCGCTGTTCGATGACTCGGCTGCATTCGCAGTATTACGTTTGTATTCGATGTCTTCGTCTATCAGCATCTGTGCGTTCCAAACTCGATGAGCGATGTAACTTACAAGGACTTGGCATATCTGCATCATTGTCATCTGGGAACAAGATGCGGTATACAGCTTTCCACTTCTCTATTTCACTGTGGTGCATCTGGCTGCCTTTCTTGCTTTTCATCCTTTTCTCTTGTTCTTTGTCAAAACCTTCCAGCGGTATCTGCTCACGCAGTTCGCAACCACTCGGATCGCGTTGATGTTCTCGAAGTGCAACATCATTGGTGAAGGTTGTACAGCAACGATGGCATTGTGGTGGTAGTAAGTGTCGCCGGTACAAATGCTCCCTAGTGACGTTAGTCTCTGGTGTATAGCCGCAAATCCCAACGTAACTCACTTTAATCTCGCGACTGTAGTGAAGCCTGGATCCCTGCAAGATGTGAAGGTTTGATGTCTACCTGGGTTGCGCTTGTAATAAGGGCATGCGAATCGCAGTTCCGAAATAGGCTGCTTGCCTTTAGATACAGAGTCTGGCCTACGTCTTTTATTTGAATCGTCGCCATCATCTGGGGGAGTTGAGCCATCTCCACTCAAGCTGCGCTTCCTGGATGTGAATGAAGTGTCTGAATATGTGGATGCACCTGCAAGATGTCCTGTTGCACTGCCACTAGAACTTGGATTGGTTCCATTGGTGGCATGGTTTCGGAGGGTCGCGCTGAAGACTTTCTGGAACTCTTTCATGATAGCATCCACGAGTCGCCGCTTCGCGGAGACTACCTGGCTGGGAATCTGTGAAACAGCCGGAGAGCCCTCTCTAGACGATGTGTATTCAGAGCAGTCTGTCTCTTCTTCAGATGATGTAGTTGTTCTAGATGAGACAAGAGAGAGGCGACTTGACGATGCTGTCAGTTCCGCAATGTCTCCGCACCCCAGATGCGTGAGCTCTGATTTTTCATCAAATTCGTTTTGCGCGTCATGGACTGACGGTCTCCCTTCATCATATTTGGATACCAAAGTCCCTCCTCGTGTCGCAACATTGACGGATGTATCGCACTGTACATCATCTGACGCTCGGTACTTCCAAACGCTTGAATCCGCCATCCGTGTCACTTCGCGGCCAACACAATCCGGTAGGTGTTCATACATTGATCCGGCCGTAAAACGTGTTTTACAGATGGGACATTCTGCTAGATCGGTATACGCAAGTTCCATACCTGAGTGCTGTATCGGTGAGCACGAGAAATTGTCATAATGGCACCACATCAAGTGCTTCAGAAATTCAGGCACCCGATCGGGGCCTTCTCCAAATACTGCACGATGAGAGGGGGATAATCTGCAAAAGCCACAGACCAGTGTCGTTTCGCAATGAACAAGCAAATGGCGCTCTCTATCACCGGCTTTCGTGAACCCTCTTAAGTGGCGCTCGCATCCCTTCCACGGACATAATTCTACAACTTGTGCAGTGAAGCGGGTGCTTTGTATGGAAGAGTGTTCGCTGTTGGCCATGGCGGAAGTGTCATCTGTTGCTTTCTTGCTGCGTCTGCTGAAATGTCTTCCTATGGACTGCAATGATCTAGTGGACCTGGTTGACGAGTTGCGACTGCTCAGAGTAGCACTGCTCATGAGACTTGGGCATCGACTTGGAGGCTGCGCAGCATTTTGGGAGAAGTGCGAAGATGGGCGTGAAGACCAGCCGTCAAAGGGGCTATCGTCATAGATTGGGGCCGGCATCGGCTTTCGGTTGGAATCGAACTTCGTCAGGGTGTCATTTCCGTTTTCCAAGATTGGGTCGTCCAAGTGTCGTGTTATATAGGGCTTGTCTTCCCGCAGAAAGGCCGCGACGTCTTCTGATACTGGAGCATCTGTCGCCTAAGTTCAGTACCGGCTATCAATTTGTAGTTGGACAAATATACCCTCCTGATCCGCCAAAAAAGCCCCAAAGTCCATGTTTCGGTGGCGATGCTCCATTGTACGCGTTTTACCGTCGGAACGCACCAGTGCGGCTGTGGTGGTAGAAGATAGTAGCTATCGATGCGTACACTGGAAACGAAGGATATCGTGAAGGCAGCACGCGCAAATACACTCTAAGGATGGTGTCTAGTCATAAAACTCATATCAAGGATGCCTGAGTGAGTAGCACCGCAGCGCGCAGCGTCGTATCGCAATTGCGCACAGCCATCTCATTGGTGCACGCAGCCCGACCACCGGTCAGCTCGCTTCGAAGCGCGCGATCCTGATCGGACGCAGCGAGGCGTCTTCTTGGCTTGACGGCGCACCTTTCCATTTTGTTTTTGTTCTTGACGCGAGAGTCAATGATGATGGCAGTTATCGTCCGATGTGGATTGGGAAAGATGGAGGTTGGGAGCGTATCTGGAGGAAAGTGGAGTTTGCCGTGAAGGGTTAGGGAACGTCACCCTGGGGCTCCTTACGTCATCCACAGGATCAACTCCTGTGCATGGCGCAACAACTGCTAAAATTTACTACATACACATTTTAGACGTGATAGTAGCGCACAGAGACTCTGCTGATTCTAAGGAATGTATTTAATACTTCTACTTTGACTGAGATAGCTAATGGATCCAGATGTAGCGGATGATCATATCTCTAATCATTCTGCTGGAAGACTGGATGAAGTCCAAAACCTAGAAACATTATCAACTTTGACTATCTAGGCATCATCATCAATTGAACTTTAGGCCTTCTTTAGTTCTCAGAACACTCTAACCTATATCGAACAACTGCCTAGCATAGCTCGCCGGATCCCCGTCCTCTTCTTCTTCTCCGTAGTCTAGCCACCGCTCATTGTGCTCCACCCGCAGCGCAGTAATCTTTTCAGAAAGCCACTCCGCCCGTTTCTCATCTTCCGGGTCAGCCTGCTCATCTAGAGCCCACGTATCATTCAGTCTCGCAGCAAGCCGTTCGCAGCAAGCCGTTCGTACTCAAGCATGAAAAGCACAACTTGCTCCTCATTGTCGCGAGACCAGAGCAGCATCTTGTATATGTCCAGTGCCATCTTTGGGGAATCATCGTCCTCATCTTGCTTTTCTTCCATATCGAATTCCTCAGCGGCTTCCAGACATGCGTCTCGTCGAATCCGCTTAAAGATGTCATGGATGAGCCGTTCTGTTGTATAGCGTGCGTCGAAAGCTTTGTGACAAAGTCGATCATGACCATGGTACTCGTTACACAACGCGGTGGGGTTTTGATTGTGAAGCATGTGCATCTTGTCTCCCCAGCCGGACGAACGACCGACTAACAAACGCATGACGTGAGTTGCAAGCCCATCCGGTAGGTCGTGTCCTCGGCGACTGTGATCGAGAGCTATGTCGACTAACAAACGGAGGATGGGCAGGTCTTCGTTCATTTTCAACGAGTTGGCGAATCTGACGGGGAAGTCTAGGTTCTGCTTGTCGTCGTCTTCCTCTAGTTGCTTGCAGTACTCGAGGTAGATCTCCATTATCCTATCTGCTACCATGTCTTTGACAACTGGCGACTTGAGCATTCTAGCCAATCTGTACATCTCGGCGCAAGCATCGAAGTTGCATTCAATCTCCTTTGGCTTGGGATCGTCAGGCAATATGACCAAGGCGACATCTTCGTGATGTAAAGACATTTCCGGATCCGGAATGACATCGTGGGTTGACAGTTTGCTCTGAGGAAAGGGCGAGATTGCGTGAAAAAAAGCACGCGCGATCACGGGCGAAATTCTCTTGCGGCCAAAGTCTACAACTTGGTCTTCGTTGGAAGATGATCGTCCACTGTAAGCGTCACAATACTTCTCCAAAGCACGTAAAGTTGCCCAATGCGAAGCATCATCAAGCTTGACCTCAACTACATTCGACCCAAAGAGGTTATGTGTGATACGGATGCGGTCGCGAATAAGAAGACTACCAGGATTACGACATTTCATGATTGATTGGGCGGGATGAACTTACGGGGCTGAGTCCACTTTGTCTTCAACGTAATCCTGCTTGCTATCATCATCAGGTGGTTGTTGCTCATCCGTAGCGAGGTTGCTTGCCGTTTGCTCCAGAGTCTCTCTGTCGGGTGTGAGCGTGGTCTCCTTCTCCAAATGCTGCTCACTCGTCGTCTCTTTCTGCTCAGAACTGTTCTTTGAGACAATATTGGGGTTTATCGGCGTCGGCTCTTTGGCCTTTGGAACTGGCTGATGGACAGTTGGTGTCGAGCTCAATATCTTCGCAACTAGAGTCGGGAAATAATTTTGCCCCAGGCCCAAATTCTTAAGACGCTTCCTATCTGAAGGGCCTCTAAGTGTCCAGGGGACCACGACATTCTGCTCATCAAACCACTTCCACCCATGCAACTTGACCTGTTTTTCTACACCTGCAAAGGTAATTGCTTTCCCACCATTGCTATTGTATGCAGACTTACACGCCTCCCAGGTAATGCCATCAACCAGTCGAGCCTTGAGCCCCGCGCGTACCTCAGGTGTGGCTGCTGAGTCAGTGTCATTGGAGTTCGCCGGAAACGGGTCACTTATAATGTACAATGTACGGTTGCCGAACTCCTCAAGATATGCAGCTCGCACTTAGGGATCAGTTATGACATTCAACATCTGATTCTCAGTTGGATCATCTCCTCGAATCAACCAAGTTGCGTCTGGAGTAGTGAGAGACGGAAGGGTTTGTTGTGGCGTAGAGCCATCTTCATCGATATCTTCACTGTCAGAGACAGTATTGGCTAGTTCATGATTTACAGCAGCGGTCTTCTTAGCCTTCTTAGCCTTCTTATGAGTCAGGGTTTGATTGCGAATCCCCGCCGTGTCGACAGACGCAGTAGCTTTGTCAACGTCGATCATGTCCCGCTTACGCTTTGAACTTGAAGTTTTTGGATTATTCATTTTATTCTTGGTTGCTTATACGTGACGATGAGGTACGAGAATATGGCCGCTAAGTAGTGAAAGGATGAATGACGAACTTGTTCGCACTTGATAAAGGGGGTGTTGAGTCTTCTGGTTGCGCGCGCAGATATAGTAAGTATAATGATAAAGTTCTAAGAAGAACGAAGAGGGGCGTGTATATAGACAGGAGCAGCACTGGAAGCAGGGAGTTCTGCCTCCGTGCAGAGACCGTGCAGTAAGAGGGAATTGCTGGACCACATTCTTTCACCCTTACAGAAGTGAAATGAAGTATTAGAGGAACTCGCAGCTCGTAGAGAATCGAATAACATTATGTGACGATGTCATTGGGGTAAGACATGCCTGAGACATGTAGAATGGCATCTGGTAAGGAACCAGTACAGCACATGCGACATAGTAGTCTGGTTGGCTTTATAGGACTGTGCGTTATTACCCAAAGTCCACCAGGGAGACAAGCATGAGCACAATCATATTCTAAAAACAAAAATTTGAATCATATGATCAATTGCTATTCCAGGCTGTCCTGGAAAGCGGCAACTACACGTCCACCGCAGATTACTTGTAGCTATCCAAATAAACAAAAACGCCGCCTTTCATTATCAAAATGCTCGGGTATGATGCAAGAGAACAAACACACCCCAATTCCCCCTCCCGTTCCTTTCCCTCATGCAAAAGATAAGAAATTCGTTTCCCTGTAAAAAAAGTATTAAAGTACAGTTGATCGTCATGGGCGTTCGTTCGTCGCGCCCCTATATCCCTGACGAAAGCGCAGGGGAGATGAAAACAAGAATGGTGTGGGCCTGCTAGTGTGCGAGTGGACAAGCCGTTGTGTTGAAGAACGAGTGCCGCAGTGTGAGACCAATGTAGGATATACAAGCGATGAGCGAGTGGGACGAAGTTTGTTGAGTCGAGCCGGATGACATCGCAGTTCAAGCTTCGGGTGCATGCTCAGGACCAGTCGGACCATCGCCAATAGACGAAAGATCAACCTTGGGACTCTCAACAGTGACTGGAACAGGTCCCGAAGGCGCAGATCTTGTCGGCTGTGGTGGAGCAGGTCTCTCAGACGGTGAGTTGGTGAGTCTTGGAGGCCGTGACGGACCAGTCTCGCCTGTGCGTAACTCTAAGATGTGCCGGTTGTCTGCTTTCACAACTTGCTACGTCGTTCTTAACTTCGCTATTACAGGATGATCAGATGTGTCAAGCGCACGCGGACTGAAGACCATTGCCAGCACACCTCCAACTCACACTCTCTGGAGATTTAGTGGTACCGCGGTGGGGTTCCTTGCCCGTTAGGCACACCGTTGGGTTGGAACTCCATCTCGCGCTTCATCATCTCCAGCGTTGAGGGGAAGTATGGCTCGACGCCGTATGTCTTGAGGTAGCTGGCGGTCTTCTCAATGCGCTTGATCTCGCGCTTTACGTCCCAGCCCTCGCCCTCGCCGAAGCGGCGCTGCACGACGTCGACCATGGTCTCGTCGAGTCTGCTGTAGAAGTCGCGGCGTGCGGCAATGTCGCCGGCGTCAGCGCTGTCGATACCGCCGTGTGAGTTGAGGTTGCCGCCGAGCTTCAGGATGAGGTCGAAGGCGTAGCGCGGGCCGGACGGTAGGAGCGTCAAGCGCTGGATGTCGGGCAGGAACTTCAGCATAGCCGAGGCGAAATGTGAGGATGAAATGGAGTCATTGAGATCGTCTTGCAGGCGGTGCAGGTCGAAGTTGACGATGGTGATCTTGCGGTCGAGCTGGGCGTTGAGTGTGGGCGCAGCGTCGGCAGTGGTGGTGTCCATGATCTTGGCGATGGAGGCCGGGACATCTTGGAGGAAGTCAGTATGGAGTGTCAAGAGATGCATAGAGTAGGGAATGCAGTCTTACCTGGTCGCAGTCCGCGCTTGTCAATCCAGTTGTGTACCTCGGCGCGCTGCTGCTCGAGCTGGTCGACCCAGTTCTGCAGGTCGGCAAGCTGGCTCTCGAGCTGCTCAATCTTCTCTGTGTAGGGCTGGACGGCCTGGTTGAAGGCAGCGGTAATGAGGTCGGGCATGCCGAGGCCCATTGGGCCGCTGCCGCCGGTGGGGGGAACTTGCTGGGAGCGGATGGGCATGTTGTTGTGGGAGGGAGGAGCACTCTGCGCGTACGTCGGCTCCTGGGGTTGCTGTTGGCGGGGATACATTTCAGGCTCTTCGGCGGGCGAGAAGGGCTGGCTCTGGTGGGACTCCTTCCGGCTCGACTCAGGGCGCTTATCGGTGGTGTAATCGTCGAATGATTGCGAGCGCGGGTTCTCACTGTTGTCTACGTAAGAATTGGTCCTGGACCTGCTATGCAAAGTTAGTGCAAGTCTCAGGATGCAGTGGCTGTGGTGCCGACTTACCGTTTGAAGAACATTATGCGAAAAGAAAGAGTCTGCAGAGAAGCGTGAAGGTCGTCGTGGTTATAAAGCTGTCTAGAGCAGACGAAGCGAGATTGCGCCCCGACTTGTGAATAAGAGAAAGGTTGGGCGTCTTGAAATTAGGCTTTCGATTCGCAGAAAAAGTGCGAGGTTGAACGACGCGGTGCTGTTGGCGGCGGTGGTTGGGGCCCCTTGTTCCAAGAGACGATAACACGACAATCGATGACCACGTTACACGCCAGACAGCGCGTGTTGCACAGGACTCACTATATATCTTGCTCCCCCGAGGAACAATCGTAAACAATGCTGCAGCAGGCTTAGCGGGTGTAATAATGCGCCGAACGGTTGTTGTTATGCTTGGTGCAGTGGTGGTATTGCTATAAGCTGTTGGGTAGGACCATTATAGCTGGCAGTGCATGAGCTGCAGCGTCCGCGTCCGCGTCCATGCCACGTCCAAGAGCCCCGCTAGTTTGTGCAGCCGCGCCTTCCCAGCCGCCTCCCCCCAGCCTCACGGCCAACATCACTCGTCCGCTTAAGCCTGCCGTCTGCTCTCACGCCATGCAGGAGCCGATAAGAAAGCAAGCACGGTGATGCTTCTTGAAGCGACACCGCCTGACCCACGCGGGAGTGCCGTCCCTTCCAGGACCACCCTCGCGACCCAGAGCGACCCATCCAACCTATTCAACACACCCTGCAACGTGCACCGCGCACTGTTGCCCAGCAACCCGGCCCATTTCAGAGAAAAAGCATGGTTTTACCTAGGGTCCCTCAACGTTCGCCTGCACGGAATTGGGGACTGCACGGATACTAGCAGATCTACGGTAGCCGTAGTGAACCATACTTTTCCTCTCACCCCTATTGCTATCCCAACATGGTAGAAACATTACAAACGCGCATATGAAACTAAATCTAGGTGCATACTACCACTATACAAGAATTACTCTGCTTTCCCACTAGCTTTTCCCTGAACTGTCCCGTTACCCTGCGCCTTCTTGCTGCTGCCAAACTCCACGCCCCGTATAGTCCATTCACTGTAAATCTCCAGTCCGCTAACAAACACGCCCAACAAACTTGCAATGACAAAGTGGCTGATCGTTGTCCCAATTTCCAGCCAACTCCCCTCGTCCTTGACCATGTAGAAGAAGCTCAGTGTCATGACATCACTGACCGCCATCACCACCATGAACAGTGCTGATGGCGCCACGCCTAGGCCGCGATTGAGGAGACCAAAGTTGGTTGAGAGGGCGGCAAAGGGCGCCATGAGCTTGATGATCAGAAGCGCGCCTTGGGAGAAAGGGTCGAAGATGGGGATTAGACGGTACACGGCGTCGAGCGAGAAGGATGATACCGAGGCGATATTTGACGCGCTGAAGAAAGCAGACTGAATAAAGAAGATGAAGAACAGAGCTATGCGCGCGTCGGCCAGGGTCAGAGATCTGTATTCCCCCCTCTGAAGTGAGCTGAGTCGATCCGACGCAGCGTCCTTGGTAGGCTTGGCCGGATCCGATGTGATGGCCGTAGTCGAAGCATCGGCCGTGTTATGCAGATATACCTGGTGCTCCAGGCGCATCCAGCTGAAGAGGCACATGCAAAACGCAAAGTAAAAGAGACCTTCGTACGAGATGGAGAGGATGATAAAGGTTGGTGCGAACTGGAGGAAGATGACTACAAGGCGGTGGACGTAGTGGGTGTTGGGATAGAGACCGTGGAGTTGTGGCACCACAAGCGAGGCGAACAGTGTTGCTCGTGTTACTGTCAGGACACCAAATGGTATGCCCTGGCGCGCTTGTAAGTAGCCAACGCTGCTCTTCGTGACAATCATGGAAAGCGCTACGAGGCCGAGCTGGATGCCAAGGATGATACGAGATGTGTGGTTCAACTCTTGTTTGGCAAGCTCAGATTGCGATTTGCCGTCTTCAAGGATCGTCCTCTCGAAGATAAGGTAGAGTATGCCAATGGCAAACATCAATACACCTCCAAGCAGGCTACGTGTCATTAGCTTTGGGTCAATGTCGATACCGAGTGCACTCACATGAGACGAATGTCCTCTGCCTTGTTGGCTGGCAGTAGTGTGAAAGCGCTCATGGCTATGCAAGACAAAGCCCAAGTGGCGACAGTCGCCATGTTCTTCTTCACGAAATCCTGCCCATACACTGCTGGCCAGAGTGTTGCGAGCAGGTAACATACCGTGTAAATCTCCCTTACAAAGTAGCTTTGAACCTATCATTCGATTAGTACATTCGCCTCCCTTTACTCCGGATCAACTTACCAAAGCCTGGAGTAATCCGAAGAAGCCAATAGTCGCAAACACTAGTTTTGCGACATCAGCGCCAGAGTTGAGATGGCCAAACAGAATCTTGCCGCCCTTGACAAGCGATAGCCTCTGGGCAAAGACTTCCTCCCAGAACAGGACCGGGAAGAACGCATATGCATAGTAGATGACCGGTGATTCTTGTTTGAAGAAAACCCCATATAGCGCAACAAGCACAGAAGAGAATATCACCATACTAGCCACTGTTCTCTGTGCCGGCACATGTTCGGTGAGCACATGTAGGTCGACAACTGTGGTGATGGCGAAAGCGATCCAGCCAACATAGCCAGCAGTCACCAACGTCCGGAGGAAAAGCCAATCGTAAGTCTGCAAATACCGCAGGCCTTCGAGACCAAGGTCAATAAGCTCGTACGTCTTGCGAATAGCCTCGTCTGCGCTGCCTTTGTTGATCAATGACTGTATATCGGCAACGCGATGCTCGACAGAATGTGCTTCGTCACCCAAACCAGAGAAAGGCCTGTATCGTAGCTGTGTCTCCTTCTTCATCTCTTCTTTAACATGATACATCTCCAATATCTCCTTGGCATTAACAAGAAGAGCTTCTGCCTTGGCTTTGGGGTCTTTGTCAAGGTAGGAAAGCGGCAAGACTCCGACTGAGTTGGTTGGGAAGTCGAGTCCCACTAGATAAGCCATCAATGCCGCAACGTCAGCCTGGTCGACGTCATGTCGCTCAATCTCGTCCAGGTTCCAATCCGAAGAGAACTCGGTGTGGCCTCTAGCAACACCTGACGTGTTCTTCACAGGAGGCGCGACACCAGCACCCCATGCGATCAAGGGCGTACGCGTATTGTCTGGGTGTCCATCTCCGTGACTTCCCCAGTCGCTCATGCCATGGTCCGCTGTGAACACAAAAGAAGTCTTGTCGTCGTTGTAGAACTCTTCAATCAGCTGCGTAATCTCCTGGACCCCGCGATCCACGAGCTGAATATTATGCAGATACTGCCACGAGTAAGGTCGATGCGCATGACCCGTAGTATCCAGCCCAAGCAAGTGGAGAAAGAAGACGCTCTTCTCTTGCCTCAGCTCAGCATCCAGTGTCGCGTTCGTCTTGGCGTCAGCGAACAGCTTCTTGACGCGCTCAAATACCCATTCATCCAACACCCAGGCGTCTTTGGAGGAATCCTCCTCTTCCGCGCCATAGCAGTATGCGTCGACTCTTCCAGGCACTGCACCTGTCTCAAACATGGGAAGAATATCGGGACTGCCCCAACTCCATGTATGCCGACTGCGGTTGAAGACGCTGTCGAAGTTCACTGGGTTCAGCTTCCATCCCGTTGTGACTGCTGAGACATCCTCATATAAGCCTGCGATGAGCGCTACATGTCCAGGGCGGGATTCGGTAGGCACCCGTGTATGGGAAACGCCAAAGGTGCCATGTTCCAGGACGCGAGAGCGAAGAAAGGGAGCGAGAGGGCGCGGGGTGGTTGTATTGTCGGCGAGAGGGATCGGAGGATTTGGGTCAGGGTTGGGGAACGATTGAAATGCCTTGTCTGCACGGAGACCGTCACCTTGTTGCTCTGTTAGCACTTGCTATCGGGCTCATCTGTCGCGACTCACCAACAAAAAGTACCAAGCGTTTAGCGGGAGCTTCTTGCGTCTCTACACGGTGCTCGCGCATGCCATGAACGATAGGACTCGTAAAGTAGGTGGAGAAACAACTCCATATGTACAGCAGATGGAACACCACCGCTATTAGCAGGAACCTATAGCGACCGAATTGCGCCATTGTAAAAGAGTGTGAGAAGAGCAATGCGCCTCGAGGACACGTTTTGTGGACGCGTTGCAGTACTCAAATGGTTTGCAGGGCCATGACGGTATCCCTGCCAAGAGTTTGAATCGTCATAAGGAGAAGTGCAACAGCACGCCTAGTTACACTATGCAGATGCTCGGTCTCAATTATCAGCTACTGCCCATCTCGGCTGGATGGCAGGCTTGTCAAAAACGTGTGGTGGTCAAATTGTGAGGTACCAATCCCATCGCCCAAATAGGAAATACCGAGCTCGAGCTCCGCAGCATCACACAACGCCTTCGCATTTGTTGGGAATGCATGTCATTGTTATAGAAGCCAAGTCTTGAGCGATTACCAAACGATGTACCTAAAAGACCGTTGCAGCTTGTTCATCCGTCAGGTCGGAAGTCTATCTATTCTTCAACGTTGAAGTTCGCGCCCTCTCTCAGGCCCTCGACAACCAGCTCGTGGCCCTCAGCCCGCTGGTAGATATCTTTGATGTCGTCTGCCACATGTTAGCATTGCGTTCACTGTTCCGGAGCTCAAAAACCTACCAGTCGTTGTCTCGAAATGGCTAGTGGCGTCGTAGCTCTTCGATATGAAGACGTTGTCATTGGCACCGCTCTCAATTGGCTCGTAAAGTGGGATAGCCGGGCCCATGAACTTCTCCTCAATCTTTCCGAGACGGTCGAGACCGGGCTGCAGCTCAAGGTGGTGGTTGCTGTCGCCCTCAGCGATCGTGGAGACGATAGCGATGTAGTAGCCCTTGGGGCAGACGTTGTGTGCAGACGAGACGACAGCGATGTAGATGTCTAGTCACACTTGTTAGCAGAATCCTATCATGACACAGATGTATACATACCGTGCTTGCGTCCAACTTGGGACTGAGGAATGATCAATTGCAGAGAGTCGGCATCGGCTGTGTTGGGGATCGGGTGGTTGAGAATGCAGATGGCCTTCAGCAGATGTCCAGTAACGCGCGCCTTGCCGGGGAAGTACGAGGGGTCGGCAAGAATCTTTCCTGCCTTGGTCTCGAACTTCATGCCCTCGCCGGCATCATCCTTCTCCTTCATGGTGGCCTTGATACCCACAACCTTGCCACCGTCGTAGAGGAACTCGTCGACATCGGTGTTCAGCATGTAGGTACCACCGTAGATAGCGGAGAGACGAGCGAAACCCTGGGGCAGCTCTCCGAGACCGTAGAGCGGGTAGATGTATGGAGACTTTCCATACCGCGCTACAGAGTTACCGTAGAGCCTGATGCGCTCAATAGCCTCGTTCGCCTGTCCCTTCTGCGTGATGTAGTCGTCGGTGGGGTACAGAGCCATGGCGTGACCAATGAAATCGCGTGTGGTAGCCTCGATACCAAACTTGTCGTATACATCCTTCATGGTAGAGTTCTGGATGTCGATGCCTGCATCCAGTGTCAGCTACCATTCCTTGATCATGTCTATCGGAGAAAGCCTACCCTTGTGTGTTGCTGGATCATCCTCCTTGTATGCGCCAATCCACTCGAGGAAGTTCCTCACTCGACGCTTCTCAAAGAGACCCATGAGAGGCGATCGCAGTGCCTCGCCAGCATCTGAAGGAACCTTTGCGACGGTTGCCTTGGCACCGTTGCCCTGTTGCACATAGCTGCCGGCGATCTGCTTGAACTCGAGGTATTTGGTAACGTCGGTTGAAACGAGGATGTTGGTGAGTTCACCGTTGGCCATGAGGAGCTTGGGGACAAGGTCGATGTTCCAGTCGTTGACGCGGCCGTACTTCTTCCATGGCTCGCCCTCTGTCTGGCCGTACTTCTTGAACAGCTAGCCATCGGGTCAGTGTGTGTATGTCAGTTGGAGATGTTGCGAGCTTACTGCTTCGATGTTCAGCGATGCCGCCTCACTGCACCCTGTCAGCTGTCGCCCCAAGTGTACCTGTCAAGATAACATACCCGCCGTAGTGGTCATTGCGGTCGATGTGGAGCACCTTCTTGCCCTTGACACTAAGGACACTGCAAGCATGTCAGTTTTTGCTCAAGAACCGTTCTCGAGTCCTTGTGTTACCCTGAAAGTACACATTCAGTGAGACCTAGGGATGGTTAGCTTCCGCACGTTACGTAGGTGGGGTAACTGCAACCCACCTGTTCCCAGGACCACGACGTCGTATTCGGGTGCAATCTCGTCCATGGCTGTCAGATGTCGGTTGCAGAATAAGAAAGTTGAGGATTGCGGTGGAGGTCGTCCGCTAAGAAGGCGCGTGGTTGAGCGGTCTTAGGGCGGTGTGATGGATGTGGGGTTGTAGCTCTTTGGGAAGCGCCTCGCCAATCTGGTCGACCTGTTTATGCTGGCATTACTTTCATAACTCACTACGTTTGACGTGTACTGAATTAGTGCAATTCACTGATTTCATGACTGGCTATGATACACGCGATATGCTACAAAAGCTCGGCCACCTTGCTCGAAATAGCAGCCTTACCGTGCCCCATGCTCTCCCTGTTCGCCGTCCCAAACGCGACATGATGTACGATGTGTAAAGTTACAATTCTTCCAGACTACAGATCTGCAGAACATCGAACAAGTGTATATACCGCCTACACGTTACCCAGACTCGTATGCCACATGCACTCATGAATCTCATTATGCGTGAGTCGCCTTTTCTTTCGGCTGTACTTCGGATTCTGGGAGTATCTTGTCTTTCGAGGGCTCTTCAATAGGTGCCTCGGCCACAGCATTGTACGGGGCGTCATCTACTTCTAGCGGATCCTGTGGATTGAGTTAGCATACAGTCAATCCTATTAGGACATCGAACGTACATATGTTGGTTGGGTGAACTGTGGGCCGTCCGTTCTTGAAAGGTCAATGTCCGGATCACGCTGTGCCAGTACGTATGCTTCCTGGTATGCCTGGTGTCGCTCGGCGAGTGTGTCTAAGATTGCCTTCATCGTCTCCTGCACAGTCTTGTCCCGCTCCTGGTTTTCGTAGTCGCCGTAACCCGCCTCTAAACGTTTGCGCTCGAGCTTCTCGGTCGCGAGACGGTTCCGCTCCTTGACGCATACCCACCACAGCTGGTGTAGCGAGTCCCAGTCCCGACTGCGCAACTCGCCCACAGTCCACGATCGTCCTGCGTCTCTGTCAGCCACCATAGTCCCACCATTTGTCCAATTGCAGCCTACCATGCCGCTGCTCGTCTACTGGTGTCTGCAAGAGCTTCTGGTCCTTGAAGAAATCCCAAAGCCCATGGTCTGGTGTGCCCGTCACTTCCTGCTCAATCTCGACCGGCTTCGGCAATTGCTGCTTTGAAAAATCTTTCTCCCTAACCGACAGTGTCTGTCTAGGACGCAGACCCGTAGCCCGGACTGCAGAGTTTCCTCTGTTCTTGTTGTTGTCTCTCTTCCATCGGGCGGGTGATGTGGAGAAGCGCGCGCACTGGACCGATGGGACGAGGAAAGAAAGAATCGTGTCCTGTTGCGCCAATGCTAGATTGGGCCGGAGGAGTCGTGAGGAGGGTATCGTGGCCATGTCGTCGGTGTGGGCTGTGCTTGCCGATGCTGGAGGGCGCAGCCGACCAACATTCAAAGTTGCAGGCACTGCAGGAAACTGCGACCGGGGTAGGCCGCTAGCGCATGCCATCAGCCCTAAACCATGGGAACCCACCGCCCTCCCTTCGTATAAAGAGAAGCCACCCCGCGGCTGTCCTCCCTCTCACCACCAAACCTCGCGCTCATCACCCCGTGTTGGGCGCCCTCAGATAGTCTCCAATTTCATTTGACGAATTCTTCGATTTCACCAGCGGGTATCAGGACCCGCCCTTTACCATCCCAGGATGCAGCAATCAACCGTCACCATGCAATACACTCCAAACCAACTCTTCCGCATTTTCTGGCAACCACAGCAACTCCGTGTCATCGCCAAGCCTCCCTGGAAGTCAGTCAATTAATTGGGATTTTGCAACTTCTTATTCCACCGCCGACAGCAGCGGTGCTCTTCTCGATACCACTTCACTTCTTCCTACCACTACTACTGCTTCTTCTTCAGCCGCTTTGTCATGCGGCCTACTTGCACTGGACCCTTCTTTCCAAACCACTCCGGACTGGGACCTCTTTCCTATTTCTGACTCACATTATCTTGGCGATGGCACGCAATTGCTTCCTGGCGAGCCAGCTCTACTTTCAACAGCGGGAGACAACATGAATACGTTCACTATGCCGTCTGGCATGGGCAAAATGAACAATATGAATACATCTGCACCCATGATGAGGGGTAAGGACCACACTTCCTGGCGATTCAGTAGTGTCTAACCTATCCAGATCACTCTCTGTCTGGTTCTTCCTCCACAAGCAACAAGGACCATGGTTCGTCTCCCACCGAGCAATCCTCTTCATCCAAATTGTCATCCACAAAGAACAGCCCTCTGGCCCCAGAGCCCTCTTCCCGGGTTGAGAAGCGGAAGGCCAACACGCTCGCTGCTCGTCGCTACCGCCAAAAGCGCGTCGATCAAATGAGTACTCTCGAATCCGAACTCAAGGACGTCAAAGCCGAACGGGATGATCTCAAAGTCCGCAACGCCAGGCTGGAAGGAGAGGTCGAGACGCTTCGTGCTCTTCTACGTTCTCAAAAGTAGTCCTGTTTGTATCGGTCTGTCAGCATGCGATGGGCTCGCTTTTCTTTTCTTAACACTCAGGGAGGCCTCTTTTCAGATGATGTCGGACAATGAGTCGTTTCATGGCACACCTGTTCAGGGTGATGCTCAGATCGGCAAAATAGGGTATAATCTCAGAGGGCATCGGGACTTGGTGATAGATACTCACAGTTAATCTTGTTACGATGAATTGCATTGTCTGTTCTACAAAGCTACGAACTCTACTCTACATTCTCCATGTTTTGTACTGATCTTCCGCATGTCTCTAGGACAATCACTCTTGCTCACCTTGAGCAAGATTGTATACATACCTGACTTATGCTCTCCTAACGCATCAGTCAACTCACAATGAGTCGATGTGAGCAACTCTGATAGCCATTTCTCACAGCAGCAACAGCATCGTGTGCCAAAGAATACTAGTTTGCTGAGTCTATCCGTGCATGTCCTCACAAGCACTCCTTGCGCCCTTTTCGCTAGATTTGAGCCTGAGGCTTCAAAACTGCATTAGTGTAGCTGAAAGTGTGGTTCCGAGTAAAGTTGGTCTCCACTTATTGATCACTAGTTGTCCAATGAGAGAGAGCGATAGTGAGTCATTCTCGCTCACGATGTGTCTGATGTCTTGGCCTACCCTACATCCCCTTTCGTCTTTACCGACGACGTATTCACTTGGCCTTCAAGCTCAACAACGCGCGCATCGGTGTAAGCAACCTCTCTCGGGTGTGTTTTGCGTGCAGCGATCTGCTGACGTCACTGCGCAGACCATCAAACGCGGTTGCTGCGACAGTGCTGGCGACTGCCAGGGTAATATCACAGCGATCGGCTACCAACATGCATCACAATGGTGTACCTGCATGCTAAACCTCATCCCTACACTAAGGTAGGCAAGTTACGTGGTTATCTGTATTCTGATATGCCTCTCCTGTCGTGCCAGGCGATGCGACAGCTCTCCTTGCCTCGTCATTACCTGTCATCCTCACTGGAGTTATTGGTAAAGGTCACAATCTCCATCATCAACAATCTCTTGTATTTCGATTTTGTTCAATCAGTCGATTTTTTGAGGGGTCTTTGCCTGATCAACAATCCCCTAGGGCGGTTCAACATGGACACTTCTACCGGGTCTCCCCTGATCAGCACATTGCTGTGAGTACCTCAATTCTTGGCCTGTGTGACAGAACACCGAATGCGACATCGTCGTTCAGCATTCGCCTCAGGTCGCCGGTGTTGAGCGACGCGTGCAACTCGCGTTTCAGCCTCAGGGTCCTCTGACACTCACGTCACAATGTCAGCCCGGCTAAAAGTGGGCCAGATGGATGTACTGATGCCGAGTACATCACCTCATGCAAGCCTTCTGCTACTCGGATCTACCCACGCAACAGCGCCTTCTATCCCCTTCACAGTTAGTACCTGTTTTGGACTTAGCGTGCATTAGTTTCGCCACCCAGTATGGAATCAGTATCCACATCCAGATCCTACCACATGCGCCGAGACCGTAAGGAAGCCCGTTTTTTGTTCCTTCATCCCATGGCATTGTGGATTCGTCAAGGCTACGGGCCGATCATATGGCTGCCCTATGTTATACAACGGTTTCTAAACCTAGCATCTTCCGCTAGCTGTGAACCTTCTCGATCCGTTAGACCAATCACGAACTGTGAGGTCGTACTATGGTTCACTTCGCGTCGAGCCATGCGGTCGCCTAACCTGCATTATCGCCACCATTGGGACAAAGATTACTTGTCTACACGCGTCAGGAGCTTGACACGCGCTATGGAACACTCACTCCCGCTCGTGCAGAATCCGGGGAATCCTCAACTTTGTATCCGCCCTCATAACCGAACGCTCAGGCCCGACTCATTCTGTTCATGTTCATGTTTGTTCATACATTCGTTTTCTTCCGTTGTTGTCTGGGCGCATAGCTGCATATCTTGAACTGTTCAATCGGCCGTAGGTACGACCGACCTTCATTCTTGTATCTTACGCGCAGTCATACAACATGTACTTTCGACCGGGATATGTGGTGGTGATTGTTGGGGCGATACTGACAACGATGTCAACAATCATCGTAGGGTTACGGTAAGACTGACTGTCGCTGAAGCGGCGTGAGTAAAGGCTGATCAATTGAACAGATACTATTGCCGATACTTTCTCATGGGATCAGTCAGTGCGAGCGATCATCTCATGTTCGTCGCTCTTGTAAGTTGAAATATTGTACCATCTTCTACAAAGCTTACAAGGTTCAGGTGATTACATGGGGCAACTTTGTCGTAAACTTCTATCAAGACGAGACGAGCCGACACTCCCGTCCAAGCTATCTGTTCAAACCAGTGAGTGAATCCAAACGCTCTCCTGGCGCCACTGTCTAACAAAATCGTAGGAGGAGCATCCAGAGGTTGTGGAACATGTGCGCGGGAACCTTATCTCATGGTGGGTATACCGCTTGACCTACACCATTGGCCTAGGCTTCGTAAAACTCAGCATCCTCTTCTTCTACCACGCTATCGCCGCCAACAAGACATTCCGTCGGCTCGTGTACGCTACGATCGCGTTTGTGTGCATGTACACATTTGCTGCGAGCATGGCGTCCACCTTCCAATGCGAAAACCCCTCAGACGCTTGGTCAACAGTCAACTACTTGGCACAGTTCGATCGCGATCCAAAAACCAAGCAAATACAGGTCAAATGCTTCGATCCTATCAAGCTCTGGGTGTTTTCCTCGGCCTCCAATCTGATAAGCGACATCATCATTCTCATGCTACCGCTACCGACGCTGCTCAGCCTTCGCATACCCATGGCCAAACGTCTGGCACTCATTGGCATATTTTCTGTTGGAGTCATGGCCATCACTGCATCGTCCGTACGAATGTGGGTTATGATGCTGTGGGCCGAATCACCTTATAATTCGGCGCGTTTTGGAAACGACCTCCTTCTGTGGGGTCAAGTTGAGACAAACAGTGGAATCATCTCCTCGTCTATACCATTCCTCCGTCTCTTATTCCGCAGCAAACAAAAGGAAGAGCGTAGCGCAACGCCGAAGAAGGTTTACAAAGTCCCTTCACAGCCTCTCCAGATTGATGCCTTTAGCCAGCACAAAGCACTCGACATGGGCGAATGGCCGCTCCGGGACGAGAAGATGGCCACGGAGCAATCCAATTGCTTCATCACCATACACGCAGATACGATGCGTACTAGAGGCTCTGCTTGGGGTCCCTTCATCACGATACCGGAAAGCCTAAGCTCGAGCAGTAGAGGCGAGGCACAGCTGGAGCCCACACACAACCCGCATATGACAGTGTAAGGAAACTGGAAGAGAAATTTTGTACTTGTAACGATAATGATAATATGATGATACTGAGTTTGAACTTCACAAATAGCCATCGCAATCGTAATCCTATCTGTCAATAGTCGAATTCGTTGGAAGAGGGCGACGCGTGCTGTACTCTGGAACCGCACAGATCTCGTCCTTTGATCGCAAGAGCTATCAGCTGCAACAGGAGGTTTGCCATGACCGAACAGGGTATCCACGGGTGTCTAACGTGGGACGTCGCACAACGGCTGCAGCGTGACATGGGTCCAACGATGGCACCTTTCCATTTCCAGTTAACCTCGGGCGGACCCATCTATGGATGTCGATCTCATGCGGCTGCGCAGGTGTCTGGGAGAGCGATTGAGAGGTCACGTAGACGTTTATACTCGATCGCATCATCGTCGTGCTCCCAGCTACTAGGCGCCTGTTTATCCCAGCACACCGCCCAATCGCCGCTTCCCCACATCTCGGCTTAAGTCTTAAGCTGTTGGGTAATCACCAGCACCGTGGCTTCCTCACGCATCACCAAGCTCTTTCTCGCCGCTGTCGCTCTCTTCATTGCGACATCCGCCATCCTGGCTTCAATCCGACTCGGCGGACGCGTCCCATCCATATTACAATACGTCAAGCCCTCTCCGCTCCGGAATCCCCTCTATACGCAACCGTTTAGGCCGCTCACCAACTCCACTATGGCTCCGTCGCAATACAAGACCCCGCCACAGCTGCCGCCCAAGTTCACAGCTACAAAGCAAAGCTTAGTTGACGATGCAAAGAGACTGGTATGTGGTCTTCCTGAGTTTTTGAACTTGTGCTTGCGATTGCTGTCACCGACCCCGCAGGACGGGTGTTGCGACCGGATGCTGACACTTTCCAGATCGACAGGTCTCGCAGCGTCCAAGATGCTATCGTTCGCGATGTAAAGCCCGAGAACGCGAACTTCCAAAACACACTCCTCCAAATCGCCCGCGATGACAACAAGATGGCCATCGAATCGCACATCCTTGGCTTCTACAACGCTGTGTCAACAAGCAAGGAGCTGCGCGATGCATCCAGCGAGGTGGAACAGATGCTTGACGACTTTGGCATTGAGTCGTCCATGCGCGAGGACGTCTTCAATCTCATTGACGCTGTGCTGAAGAAGGGCGAGAAGCTGGATCCTGAGTCCCAGCGGCTGCTGGAGAAGGACCACAAATCGTTCATTCGAAATGGTCTGAATCTTCCCGCGGGACCCAAGAGGGACAGGTTCAAGGAGATCAAGCAGCGTCTGAGTCAAATCGGCATCGCCTTCCAGAAGAACCTTAACGAAGAGAACGGTGGGCTGTGGTTCACACAAGAGGAATTGCACGGCGTGCCAGAAGACGTCACCTCAGGACTCAAGAAGGGAGAAGGCGAAAACGAGGGCAAGTTATTCCTGACCTTCAAATACCCCGACCTCTTCCCAACCCTCAAGTACGCCACAAACCCGGAGACAAGGAGGAAGGTTTTCGTCGAGAATGAGAACAAGTGCAACGACAACGTACCACTGTTCAGAGAGGCCATCTTACTCCGCGACGAAGCCGCCCGCCTTCTAGGCTACGACAACCATGCACAGTTCCGGATAGAAGACAAGATGGCGAAGACCACCAAGACCGTCGATGACTTCCTCGGTGACCTGCGCGAAAGGCTCGCACCAGGTGGCAAGAAGGAAATTGAGAAGCTGATGGAATTGAAGGAGCAAGACGTCAAAGAGAATGGAATCACAGGTCCGTTGGCCAAAGACTATTACCTTTGGGACAACAGGTACTACGATCGTCTGATGCTGGAGAAGGATTTCCAGCTCGACCACCAAGTTATTGCCGAATACTTCCCCCTGCAGACAACCATCCAAGGCATGCTGAAAATCTTCGAGGAGCTCTTTGGTCTGGTGTTCGTCGAGATTGTGGGCGAGGAAGACAGGGCTGCCCTTGCTGACGGTGGCAAGGGATCCGACATTGTCTGGCATGAGGAAGTGCAAGTCTTTAGCGTTTGGGACGACAAGGGCGAGGGCGAAGGCTTCGTTGGCTATCTCTACCTGGATCTCTTCCCGTAAGTACCCTGTGCACGGATCAACATCACGTGGCTCCATCCCGAAATATGTCCGAGCTTCTGCTAACTCAACACTAGACGTGACGGCAAGGTATGAAGACAACCACAACACTTCTAGAACACTTACTAACGTTGAAATCACGTGAAAAGTATGGGCATGCTGCCAAGTAAGTTGTGCCTATACGAAATGCATGTGAGACATACACTGACTTCGTATTTTCCAATCTGCAGCTTCAATCTGCAGCCTGGCTATATAGATGAGAACGGCAAGCGACGTTATCCCGCGACGGCTCTAGTCTGCAACTTTTCCAAGCCAACGAAGAAGAAGCCCTCACTACTCAAGCACGATGAGGTAGTCACTCTCTTCCACGAGCTTGGACACGGTATCCACGACCTGGTATCACGAACGACCTACTCTCGGTTCCATGGCACCAACACTGTTCGCGACTTCGTTGAGGCGCCATCTCAGATGCTGGAGAACTGGTGCTGGACACCTTCGCAACTACGCTCTCTATCTCACCACTACTCTTACATCTCTTCCGACTATGAGAAGGCATACTTAGAGTCATCAGGCGCCGAGAAGAAGCCGTCAGAGCAGATTCCTCAATCGTTGATCGCCAAGTTGATCTCTACGAAGCACGTCAATGACGCGCTGTTCAACTTGAGACAGTTGCATTTTGGAACCTTCGATATGGCTGTTCACGAGCCGGCCAGCCACGAGGAGCTCGAAAAAATGGACATCACTGAGAAGTACAACTCTTTGAGGCACGAGATCAGTCAGCTCAAGGGCCCTGAATCGCTGGAGGGAGACAAGAAGGGTGACTGGCACTGGGGTAATGGGCAGGCTACGTTCGGTCATTTGATCGGTGGTTATGACGCTGGGTAAGACATGTTCAATCGCTCTGCCAAACATCACGTGCTAACCACGACAGCTACTATGGCTATCTCTCTTCTCAAGTCTACTCCACAGACATGTTCTACACTGTCTTCAAGGACGATCCTATGAACCCCAAAGAAGGCCGCCGCTACCGACACACCGTTCTTGAGCGTGGCGGTTCCAAGGAGGAGATGGAAATCCTTGAGGAATTCCTTGGCCGCAAGCCCCAGACAGAAGCCTTTTACAAGGAACTGGGAATCTCACAGTAGGCCCGCAGTTGATAACTGGGCACCAAAGCGTGTATCTGAGAGGCTACCTCTTAAAGTCTCCTAGCACAGACGCGCACTCCAGCGCGCTACACGCACATAGTCTGCTAGCTTGTAGTCAACCCATTCCACAACATTGCTCACAAAATTCTTCCCCATGACTTCACTTACTTGATGTTGCACTGGGGCGCTTTCTTCACAAAATACCTTTGTGCGTTAGACGATTCCCGCACGTAAGAGTTAGTGCCTGGTTACCCCGTGTACGCATGGAATGGCAATTGCCCTTTGGCCGTAGATTCTATGGCTTTTTTTTTGACTTTATTAAAAACATGATGGTTCGGCAATGGAGTAGCTCATGACATGGCGAACAACGTGAATGCACTAGAAGCGCGTCATCAGCCCCCTGTTATCGAGCAAATTCCGAAGAACTTGTATTGATAGAGCCATAGTTAATAGGCTTTGACACGTGAACCACTGTAAGGCATTGTCACTATCTCTTATTATTCTACCACCATTCCAAACCATCCAATACACCTAAACCGCCCTCTTCAAGCATCTGCGTAAAATACCAATCTTCCACAACCACTGTCGCAACATTTATAAGCTCCTTCATATGCCGCTTGCATATACAGCCACCTCTCCTTTCTACGTCTGGCCTCCATCGCACTGTACTACTGCAGCCACGAACAGCGCAGGGTTTCTGAAGATTGCAGCAAGAGGTGAAGGATGAGGAAATAGAGCTTAGCGAGGGTCGTAGGAGTTTAGCCATACTTTTGTCGCGCGAGGAGGTCAAGGATGATACTCTGATGGCAAAGTGGCTTGTTGGGATGTTACGGTGATTTTTTATTTGAGTATGCTTAGAATGTCAGTGGGGCGGTGGCTCAGCGGGACGACTACTAGAGTTCTTATTCCCAAGTGATATTCCTTCGCCAACAATGCGTTGGTTTACATGCGATGTCGACACTGACGATGCAGTCTAGCAAACCCTCAAGTCAACGCAAACGAGTGTGGACTGTCTGTGTCGACATATCCACCAGCATATTCCACCATGATTCTGAACAACCGCGCCTATCCGTTGTGCCACCCGTTGATGAGATCAGCATCTCTTCTGACCATCTCCCAGAGTTCAACGTGCATATCCTCTGAGGACTGACCATCAACTCCGACGAGTTCTGCGTCGTTGTAGACACCTGGGCCTTTCTTTCGACATCCACGGACATCCAGCGACACGGCATGTATACGACTTGGCAAGGTATATGGGCCACCACAGGTTCAATACCTCTCGCTGTTGGCCGGTTCTTTCCTCGAATTTCTTCCTTGCACTGCCTTGAACCTGATTGTCTCGCTCTCCCACATCCGCATATCTCTTGACTTTGTGGGTTGGACTTCGGGAAATAGTCGCAACTCCTTTTGCTCGGCGACTGGAAGCGCACTGTTCCATACTTATGCCCTCCCAGTCGGGATGATCGCTCAGTGCTTCATCAGTGCTTCATCATCGCTAGACGTCATTATTTGCTTGGGAGTCTATCCGGACGTTCTCCTTCTCCGTCTTCCAGGTCTCAATCGATCTCTAGATCGACTAGCTCCACTTTGTAGAGCAAACGCCGGCCCGACATGTCGGGGAGCTTGACGAGTAGACTAAGTCACGTTCTCTCATGCTTGAAAACTTCTGATTTCACTTGCTTAGTTTTTGATAGCGTGGGTAGCGCAATCAGGAACTTCTTAAGATTTGGCGTATTGTATGCTGGTACAAACCTCAAGGCAAAAGTCGATAGCGATCTGCGTGCAGCATCCGAGGTCATGATGTTCACCCTTGGCTTATTGCCATAATTGCCACGTCTGATCGTCTTGCTGGCGCGCCTGGGTATCGTATAAGGTGATTCTGACAGGTCTCTCTTCTACAACGATCTCACAGTGAGGTTACCGCTAGCTACGTCAGATAGGCTACGCGATGAATTCCTACGTGGCTCAAACATCTCGTCTGCCAAGATCCCATTACTTTCTCATCTCAAGATGGCGATGTCTCACAAGTCCAGCGAGGACTTACCTTCCTGCAATAATCTATAGTTGTTGAGCTGTGAGTGAGTGAGTGGTGAGAGAACAGTGATTGAGTAGTGAGCAAACAAAATCTTCTCAGCGAACGAAAGCTGCGCACCCATCACCTCCGGCCGTCTACCTTGACTTCCATTACCTTCTCTATTCCCATTCTCTTTGTTCAATCAGATCAAGCTTGCGTATTGCCTGCCCTATGTTCAGAGGATGTCAGGAAAGCGCGTTCGCGTGATACACTAACCTTTTCTGTACCTACGTATCTACACCTTCAGCAGCTACCGAGAGACTTCGCCATCGCTCTGTACTTCAAGCTGGTTTCTATCTATTTACATCGCAGAGTTCACGATGACGGACGTTTATACAGACCAGCTCAAGGCTGTCATGGACCTCTTCGATAACAATGAAATCGAGAAGTGTATCGTCAAAGCCAAGAAGAACCTCAGGTAAGAGCCAACTTTTCATTCACCATATATATCCACTGACATCCTGGAAGCGACAAGACACTGCCGCCTTACTACGTCATTGAAAACTGCCTCCTCATCGCTTGCGCCAGCGATACCTGTGAGGAAGCGGATGATTGGAAGACAAGAGCAGAGCAAGCCTACACGGCTTTCGCAGAGGTCACCAGAAAGGTCTACGAGGATTCCCTCATGACGCTCAATGATTTGCGCAAGGAGCTCGACGACCTAGATAAGCAAAAAAAGGAAGAACTCCTATGCGAACAAATCCGGGAGGCACAAATCATTAGCGAAGAGGACCAGGAGATGATAGACAGGGAAGAAAGGGAAGGAGAGGAAGAAATGGCAGCTTGAGCCGCATTCGATAGCGGAGCGTGTTGGGGGCTTGCGTCTGATGACTACGACGAGCTCGCCGATGCAGAAAACGAAGCCGCGGACCTCAGAGACTTCGACGAACTCGCCAAGGCGGAGAACGAGAACGAAGGCAATGGCTTCGAAGGCGCAGAGGAAGTCGCTAGGGCAGAGAACGCCAACGAGATTGCCGCCGCTCGTATCCTCCTAGACCGATCCATGCGCCGCTTCGTCCCCACCCCCGACACCACCTCGACAACTACAGTGCCTACGATTGTCGTCGAGCCTCCCCAAGCCCCAACTACCAATTAGACAACTACAGCGCCGAAATATTCCAGACTCGGTCGCAAGAAGAGTACCCTGAGCAAGGGCCGAGCCTGCCACGCCCACTCGTTCAACAGGGAGCAGGCAAAGCAAACCTCGCGTCCGAGCGTACTAGATATGGACTGGACTGCCGAGAACAATGAGGCGAAGTAGTATTGGAGTGCAGGAATAGTGAGGTGGGTAGACATTTGCATGTAGAACTGGGTGTAACGGAGGAATATAGCAGTAGATGGAATGCTGCAGGCTCGAGAGTGGCAGCATCAAGCTTGGAAAGATGCTCCTTTTGTGAATTCTCTCTGTCCTACATGCGACATCGACACTGACGATCAATCCAACAAATCCTTGATCTAATGCAAATAAGTGTGGACTGTCTGTCAACGCATCTTCATATATGTCAGCATCCCGCCGCAAAGCCGCCTTCGCCAGCATTGAATTGTGATATATGGGAGTCTAACGCGCGACGACAGTCGAGAAGGGGCTATCATGTTTCCAATAAGATCAAAGGGAAAAGCCATAGAATTTACGGCCGAAGTGTGATTGCCACTCCCTGTGTACATGGGGTAAGTGCAGTGGATGGCCGTCGCGCTAATGTTATCGCGGAAACCGCGGAAACCGTCCGCTTGCAACGTACGCAATACGTCCAGCTAAGATAAGACGCGTTAAGTCATTACTCGCCATATTCTACAACAACAACTGAATAGTCTGATAACAGATAGTTGTCGCGTCTAATTTGCATAACATGCAGACTCAGCATACTTGCATTCCTACAGGCCGAACCACACGTAAAGATCGAGCGTCACTGGCCCCGAGCTGCGGCTCATCGGTTCCACTACAACTTCTTTCCAAGCGTGCGCAGTGAGCGCTGCGGGCTATGACGAAGATAAATATGGCGTATACACAAAACCGTTTCTACCAGAACAAAGACGGCAGAGTTCCGCTACAATTGCAGAACAACTAGTCTGTGCCGCTCCCCGCAAAACCGGTCTCTCCCGCTGTCATAAACTGATTGACGATTGGACGAAGTGAGATGCATGACTTCCTGCCTCGGGACGATAGGCAAAGCATCGGAAATCGCCCTGCATCAACGCCAGACATCTAGCATGGAGCTTCTTCACTAATCAGGGCAAGTGGAGCAAAGATAAGCACATCCTGATAGGCCTGTCAATTCTCTCCAATTTGATCATAGTCACTTTTCCAGCCCAGGTTGTTCGGACTGCTTCCGCACATGGTTGATAGTAGTAATAAAGGATATGCATCGGTGGCACTCTACTTCTCCAACCAGGCGCGTCGCGGGTTACTCTGGAAAAGGGAAGAAACATGATTGCGCAGAAAGACGATGATAGTAAAGAGAATGGAATGTCAGCTCTGGCCTTGCAGCGGACTGTGTCCGGGAAGCATGAGCAAACACAAGCTCCGCATCAACATCTAGACGTAAGTCACTAGAACATGGTCAGTCAAGCTTTACTTACGTAGTAACAGCAAAACTTTAACGTTTTGTCTCTCATTTCGACTGCCACTTCTCTAATTGCTACATGGGAAGCACTCGGATCTACCATGGCCACCGGCCTCATATCTGGAGGCCCGGTGTCACTGGTATTTGGGTATATACGTTCGTCTCTTACGCCCCCTGAGATAGCCTCCTTTCTAATATAAGATGCGACAGTCGCAGTCTTAGGAACTTTGGCGACGGCGTTGAGCTTGTCTGAACTTGCATCTATGTAAGTCGAGAACGCATTCGTTGGCAATAACATACCCTAACCTGCCTTTTCCTGACCAGGTACCCTTCAGCTGGAGGTCAGTACTACTTTGTGGTTCAGCTTGCTCCTAAGAAATTTCGAACAGCATGGGGATACGCCGCTGGCTGGATCTCCGTCTTTGCCTGGCAAACCTTCACTGCAAGTGCTCCGTTTCTTGGTGCAACAATGCTTCAGGGTATCATCGTACTCAACTACCCGGATTATTCGTATCAGAGATGGCATGGGACGATGCTGTACTGGGCCTTTCTTGGACTTGCAACACTTGTTAATGTCTTCGCCATCAAGAGCTTGCCTTGGGTGTTGCATGCAACTTTCTTGCTCCATGTTGTACTCTGGCTTGTGTTAGTCGTAGTTATCTGCGTCATCTCGCCCACTAAACATACCGCCGAATTCGTTTTCACCACTTACGTCAACGAGTCGGGTTGGAGCAGTGACGGTGTAGCCTTCAGCATAGGCCTTCTGAGTAGCACGTATGTGCTTGCTGGTAAATCTGCGCATACCCTACCATTGCTCGCACAAACTAACAGTATTACCAGGATACGATAGCGCGACCCATCTCACCGAAGAAATCAAAGACCCAGAGCGCAACGTCCCACGAGCTATGCTAGCATCAATCATCATCAACGGCGCGATAGGATTTGGATGGCTCCTCGTCATCTTATTCTGTATGGGCGACATCACCGAAGCGATGGAGACAACGACCGGATACCCAATCATCGAGATATTCTTCCAGATAAGCCGTAGCAATGCAGCGGCTTCTGCCATGACCTGCGCCCTCATCGTCATGGCAGCTCTGGCAACGGTACCTCTTGTTCTGACCGCATCTCGAATGCTGTGGTCTTTTGCCCAGGACGCCGGACTGCCTTACTCGAAGACACTTAGCAGGGTTAACGAGAGACACCACGTTCCCTTACCAGCGATAGCAGTGACCAGTGTATTTCTTATCTTGATTGGTCTGCTAAACATCGGATCCACTACCGCCTTCAACGCCATCGTCTCTTTGGGTACCGTCGCCCTATACATCTCATACCTGATGCCCATAGTGCTCATATTTTATCGACGGATAGCTCGCCCAAGCTCACTTTTGTATGGTCCTTTCCGGCTTGGGAAGCTTGGTATTGCCATCAATCTTGTTTCTATTTTTTATACTGTTTATGTATCCATATTCCTTCTCTTCCCACCATACCAACCCGTTACGGCTCAGAATATGAACTACGCCCCGGTCGTGCTGGGAGGCGTTCTCATACTGAGCGCTGTGTGGTGGTTCATAAAAGGAAAGAATGAGTTCGTCGGGCCGGTCATGGATACGATAGAAGGTCGACCTGCGCTGAGTGGTGCTCAAAGAGACGTATAGCCGAGACTGGCGATTGCTTGTCTGTATGAACATGGCTATTAGGGTCGTCACTTTGAGGTAGCGAGGTTGTTCCTAGGATAGCTTTCACCCTGGATAGAATAGCGATCTCTCATAGAAACCCAGTAGTTTTCCCAGGTAGCATCATCTATTGCAGATTGTAACACTAATGAATGTGATACACCTATGAAAAATAATTTATGTCCAAAGAAAGAGAATATATACACAACGCACGATTATACACGGCACAATTTGCCGTTCTCGTTTGGTAGGCCATCAACACTTTCCACTCGCCACCTCTCACTACCCACACTCGTGGTCGCAAAGAACACATCTTGTGGATCGAGCTTCTTCTTCAACTCCAACAACCTAGGGTAGTTATCACCGAAGAACGCGTTACCAAAATCAGGCTCAAGACGATCAGCCTCAGCAAGGTAGGATCCGGCCCCAGGGCTGATGTCTCTCCAAGACTGCATGTCGCCCGCCTGGAAATCTTTACGGATCTTCAAGATCTCCTCAGCGGTGCTGTTGATGGGCCAGCGCACAGATTGCATGCTGAACGAGACCAAGGGGCGCCAATGAGTGTTTACGGCGTTGTCGGTGTTGTATGGGTCCTTAGCCTGCATGTTGAAGTGTACTTGAACGCGGTTTTTCTCGCTCGATGCGCGGATGCGTTCGTAAACCTCTTGACGCTTCTCAGCCGTCTCGAAGTTTGCGCGAGGGAACAAACGCGATGCGGTCGCTACGTTGGGCTTTTGAACGGCTTCGAGAGGGAAAGAGTTGCGCCAGGCATCATAGTAGTTGTCGTAATGAGTGATGTTAGGGTCAAACTTGACGCCCAAATCATTAAGTTGGTCGAACCAGGGCTGCAGGAGTGCAGTTGCTTCCTCTACTTTTTTTCCAGGCGCGAAGAAAGGCGAGAATGCAAATGAAAAGGTACCGTTGGATGGAATCAGTGTCCAGTATGTGTATGTTCCAGCGTCTGCGTTGTCGATCCATAGGTCGACGTAAGCGCGGATGGCAGCCCAGAATGTCTCGTTTCCGGTTTGGGCAGAAGTGAAGCCAAAGCGGGAGACTGTGACTTCGAGATCGGGATGGGCCTTGACAGTCACAGAGGTGACGACGCCAAAGGTACTGCCACCACCGCCACGAAGAGCCCAGAAGAGGTCAGTGTTCGAGGTGCTGTTTGCGACAACAAACTCGCCGTCGGCTGTGACGACCTCCATGGAGAGGACACTATCAGCACCGGTACCGTACAAACCAGTCAATGGGGAGTGGCCGCCTCCTTGGATGTATCCTCCCATGACTCCAACTGTCTCTCCTTCGCCACCAACGACGATTCTACCCTTCTCAGCGGCAGCCTTGTAGATCTCGAAGGCTTGCACACCGACACCGCTCTTGAACGCAGGGCCGGTCCAGTTGAGCTTCTCATCGACGTACTCTTCGATATACTCAATATTCTTCATGTTGTGTGTCCAGATACTAAGAGCATCCTTACCACCGCTCTTGCCTAGAAAGTCGTGGCCAGTGTTTTTGATAACGAGTCTGACACCAGTGTTGCGTGCGAAGTTTACTGCAGCCTGTACATGCTTTGGCTCAGTGGCGTTAACAACGTACATAGGGAAGCCCCCACGGGTGCAGCCATGGGAGTCGAAGAGTACTGGTGGTGTGCACGTCATGCCTTGCGCGACCGGAGACATGATTTCGATGGGATCGATCATATGGATGTACGACTTCTGCCACGCTGCCACGGTGTATTCGGAGCATTTGGCAGCATTGTAGTCGTCGCCAGGATAACACACTGCTGCAAGAGGAGTGGGTGCATTGATAACACGGTCACCTGTGACTTTGTTGAGTTGTGACCAAGCTTCGTCGGACGGCCATTGAGGATCATCGGGGTAGACCTTGCATCTCGAAGTGTTTGTGGGCGTTGTGACATTAGGTGAGCCAGGGAGAAAGAGCGATCTGACTGCGGAAGGAACACCTTGGAGGTCCACGTCCACGTTAAGGGTGTTGGTTTCAGCCTTGGCTGATAGGACAGGCGATGCTGTGGTTGAGGCAGCAGTCAGAACTGCGAGCCACAAAGCGACAGAGGCCATCTTTACAAGTTCGTCTGTAAACCAACGACTCAGAGTACGACCGAGTTTACCAGTCTTTGGAAAAAGATCGTCTCCCGTTAAACGGCTGCAGATCTGTATGTCGGTCAGAAAGTTTCTTTGTGCGTCATGAACGACCGTTTCTTACTGTACCTTTCGCCTGGGGCTTGCGGCTGCTGGCGTGTTACGGACCGTTGCGCACTGAGACGAGAAACAAAAGGATAGTCATATTGGTCATCTCAGTGACTGACTCGATATAGGAGGCAACGCCCAATATACCGTGCTTGGCAGGATGTGGGCTAATGCTCTTTGCCTTGAGTGTGACTGCTGATCTTCTCTAGAAACTGTGTTGACAGCTGAGATAGCCAGGGTCGACGACAAGGTATTGACTTGGTTACGAATCTGCGACCTATCCGCACTCCATGAGGGTTCACGTATGCAGCTGTTGCGTAACGCGCATTTTCTCACCTGCATATTCTCCCATATTAGACCTATCACAATGAACGATCAACAATTTCTAATGCAAACTTTGTACGCGTAAGGCTGTGAAGAGAGTATCGAATGCGCCCACGTGCGCTCGAATATGTCGTTGGGACTAGTCTCCGGCACATCGTTACTCGAGTCGTGAGGCTTGTCGTCCAGGGTCTGCTTGTTGGTGCCGTTCAAGCTGCCGATAGTGCGAAGTTTGAGAGTCATGGTCGCATCCAAAACGGGAAGGAGCCGAAAATACCTTACTAACGCGCGAACCTGCAGCTCAGAATTCTCCTTTGAGCCGCGTTCCTGACCACGGCATCCGAACGCATTCACCAATATGCCAGCTCACGTTGCAATTGAGTTTGTTTTCTCGGGGAAAACACGTGTGCTGACCCGCCCCCCACGGCTCGGGCAATAAATTCCCAGCGCGGGATCGACCTCCGTCAGCCACCCGACAAGCCTCCAACATCATATTCGGAGGATCGGCATATTTACTTCCCCTAATCGCAAGCGCTTTCAGAATATCGACTCGCCGCATCACAGACATAATGCCTAGCGGAATAATTGTCCATGGCGTTGTCCAGGCTCCTCGCCAACCAACAGGGTGAACAGGCATCCAACCCGCGATTGAGGCCCGTGTTCAAGGCTGACCTGGACATGTCAGCCCGAATTCGGACCGTGAGGAACCTCTTTCGACTTTATGAGACAGCCTAGTCCTTGTTCTGGTCAAGCGAGAGGGGAAGTTACGAGCGGAGGGTAACCATGTTGCCGCGATTATGGCCTGCATGATGAACAGCCTCGCTTTAGAACGACGTCTCCCGCGCCTGGCAGGTTTTCATCCTTGAGACATCAAGAGTCTAGAGCAGCGGCTGGTCCGATGCAACTTTTCACCTCGCCGTGCATCTGTCAGTCGTTAATGACAGCATCCTTCTTGGCCACCAAAGCATCTGATATTAAGGGATTGTACGTGCGACTACCCGCGTGGAGCGCTGAAGGACGCGGCATATACTAGTCACATAGCAAAAAACTTGAGCGTGTCCAGACGCGTTACGGGTACATTCGACTTTTTCCTGAGTGGGCCAATACTGCCTACATTACCCGTCATCCCTTCAGATCCTCACTGTTTGCGTCACTACTCCCCGTTCGCTTCTCGGTGCGATCTACCGTCGTGGACCCACGATCTTCGTCAACCCTCTGGTTCTCCCGGTTCACGATCGACTGAACAGGCGGACACTGGATATTACCCCGTGGGCTTCAACGCCTGTTGCCCATTTACGGACCGAGCACTCCAAGATTGCACGACTACGGCGACAAAACTCGGCAGTACCATGGTCGAAAGCCGACAATGCGAGGTTCTGGCCATTGTGTGTACTTTCACAGTCGTCGCTTCTTTTACAGTCTTCCTTAGAGTATGGTCGCGCTATCTCGGACGCAACTTTTGCTGGGACGACTGGTTGATTCTGGCTGCTTTTGTGCTCCTCATAGCGGATACCGTGGGAACATGGATGTACATCATATTGAGTGGCACTGGCTACCATATCTATGACCTGCCCAAGAAGTCGATTGAAGAGCAGCTTGTGGCGTTGAGATGGAACTTCACTGTACAAATGCTGTACCATCCACGTACGTATCCCTTGGTCATTCAAGAGACTTCGCTAACAAGTTTGATTCCCTTCCAGTCATGGGATTGATTCGGGCATCTATCATCATGTTTCTTTTCCGCATGAAGGACGGTCGTCGTCGCATAAGATACCCATTGCACGTTACTTTCTGGCTCAACATCCTCTACTCCATCGGATCAACGATAGTCAACGTCGTACAGTGCACTCCCAGAGCCTATGCTTGGTCCAGGCCCGCCATGGATAGCATTGATGCTAACGGGAATGTCATACCAGGCGGTACATGTATCGACTCGCGGACATTCGTATTGGTATCTTGTGCTCTATCGATTTTCATGGATCTCATCATCATTCCCATACCTTCCGTCATGGTGTGGGGTCTTCAGATGCATCGACGCACAAAGATTCTGGTAGTGATTGTGATGAGCCTGGGATGGATTGCGACGGGAGTGTCGGTAGGTAGGTTTATCGTATATTACTACCGATTTGCCCCTACCAACAAAGACCGTACCTGGGATATCGGTATTGGAATCAGCATCGCCGAACCTGCCGTACACATTATGACAGCATGCGCACCGGCGACTAAGTGCCTCTTCCGATACCTATTCCCACAGTATGGCACGAATCAGAACACGTCGTACTACCAGAACCGCACCGCGGATACAAACCGACACAATGCCAAGGTATTCGGGAATTTCCACTTCGGGTTGTCCAACAACATAGACGATGAGATCACCATGGAGGGGATGGGAGGCGCACCGAGGACTGCTCCGCTTCCGCCAGTGAAGGACGACTCTGAATATGGGCTGAAAGCTATGGGAAGCTTTGAGTCAAAAGAGTATGTTGCAAGAGGAATAGGCAGGAAGAAGAGTTGTTCGAAGACGGCATGCACGGAAGCAAGCGAGCCAGTGGAGATCGAACCGAAGCATTGCCTGGGGCAAGCTCGGTGATTTTGTTTAGGGTCCTGCGTTGATGAGCGATGATAGCGTTTGATACACCGTGAATACCTTCACACCTCTTGCAGCACATAGTAGTAATCGATGACGTTTACGACCAGTGGAAACTTGAGCTTCTGAACTGCATTATCCCCATAGCAAGTGGTAGAGGGCGAAAGTGACGATTGTACGCGTGATCGCGCTGCCACGTGAAAGCCTAGCGCGTTATGGTGGGGGCGCTACCGAGACCCTTGCCCAGGTGAGACGGAATAACAAACATTGGCAGCAGCGTAATTCAGCACAACAGCACATGCAGCCACCATGAGGATTATAGAACTTGTAATCGATGTGAGCACTGCCCGAGACTGTATTTGGCGCCTTCTAACATGAATCCAGGGCTACAAGTCATACGCTGTCCGAACAGTCATCTCTGGCTGGTAGGGCTTGTTTACGCTCCCCTTGCGAAGAGACCGGCGACTGACAACTGGGCAGGGACGAGAGCTTCAATTCAATCACGGGTCTCAACGGATCTGGAAAGTCGAACATTCTCGATTCGATATGTTTCGTACTGGGAATCAACAACTTGAGCGTGGTGCGGGCGCAGAACTTACAGGTGGGTGTAGAGAGGGGAAGGACCATGCAGAACGGAGAGGCTTACACCGCTGCAGGATCTCATCTACAAGCGCGGCCAAGCAGGCGTTACGAAAGCGAGCGTTACCATCGTGTTCGACAACCGCGACAAATCGAAGAGCCCCGTTGGCTTCGAGGAACATGCGCAGATATCGGTGACTAGGCAGATCGTGCTCGGCGGCGCGAGCAAATACCTCATCAACGGACACCGTGCGCAGCAACAAAGTATACAGAACCTGTTTCAGTCTGTGCAGCTCAACATCAACAACCCCAACTTCATGATCGCACAGGGAAAGGTTATGCAGGTGCTGAACATGAAGGCAAAGGAGATTTTGGCTATGCTTGAGGAGGCTGCTGGAACGCGCATGTTCGAAGACAGGCGGGACAAGGCCTACAAGACCATGGCAAAGAAGGAGATGAAGGTGCAGGAGATCACCGAGCTACTACGAGACGAAATCGACCCCAAGCTCGAGAAACTACGAATGGAGAAGCGTGCTTTCCTCGATTTCCAACAGACGCAGAGCGAGCTTGAACGCCTCACGAAGCTGGTAGTTGCGTACGATTACATACGATACAACGAGCGGTTACAACAGTCTGCCGAAGACCTTGAGGCCAAGAAGCAAAGGGCGAAGGACCTAGACGAATCTTCTGTGCGCATGAAGAAGGAGATAGAGAACCTCCAAGAGGATATCAAACAGACAAAGGCAACACGCGAGCAGGAGTTACGCAAGGGGGGCAAGTTCCAGGCACTGGAGGAAGAGGTCAAGACAAATTCGCACGAGATCGTCCGCCTAACGACGGTTCTGGACCTAAAGAGGACGAGCATGGCTGAGGAGGCAGACAGGAAGGAAGGCATTGAGAAGAGTGTCAAGGAGCTGGAGAAGCTTCTACATGAGAAGAAGCAGACGTACGAGAAGTTGCAGGAGAAGTACCAGACAGCCCACGCCGAGCTGGCCAAGCAAACAGAGGAGGTAGAGAAGAAAGAAGAACTTCTACAAACCCTACAAACCGGTGTGGCGTCCAAGGAAGGCCAAGAAGGCGGTTATCAGGGCCAACTGCAAGATGCCAGAAACCGAGCGAGCGCAGCTGCGACCGAGCAAGAGCAGAGCAAGCTCAGAATATCGCATCTCGAAAAGCAGATCAAGGAGGATGAGCCCAAAGCGAAGAAGGCAAAAGAACAAAATTCTGGACTCCTAAAAGACCTCGAGGCATTAAAATCCCAAGCCAAGAAGCTAGAGGCGGATCTGGCGAAGCTGGGCTACAACGAAGGTCAAGAGGCGGACATGTACCAACAAGAATCGCATCTTCAAGCACGTATACGGGAACTCCGACAGCAAGCCGACGGCATGAGGCGACAAGTTGCAAACATCGACTTCAGCTACAGCGACCCCTCCCCGAACTTTGACCGATCTCGTGTAAAGGGTCTTGTAGCCCAACTCTTCACACTCGAGAAGGAACACACCAGGGCAGGTACAGCTTTGGAGATTTGTGCTGGTGGCCGGCTGTACAACGTCGTTGTCGACTCAGCTGCTACTGGTAAGCAGCTTCTCGAGAACGGCAGGCTGAAGAAGCGCGTGACAATCATTCCGCTCAACAAGATCGCGGCATTCAAAGCGTCGGCGGAGAAAATTGGAGCAGCTCAAAAGATTGCACCAGGCAAAGTCGATCTGGCTTTGTCGCTGATTGGATACGAGCACGAGGTCAACGCCGCCATGGAGTACGTTTTCGGATCAACACTTGTCTGTGAGGACGCCGAGACCGCTAAGCGCGTGACTTTTGATCCCGCAGTGCGTATGAAGAGTGTCACTCTACAAGGAGATACTTATGACCCTGCTGGTGTGTTGTCTGGTGGTAGCGCGCCTCAATCTAGTGGGGTTCTCCTCACTCTTCAAAAGCTTAACGAGATTACGACAGAGCTTGGTTCGCAAGAGTCCCAGCTCCGGTCTTTGCAGGATACTATGGCTAAGGAGAAGAAGAAGTTGGATGCCGCACGCAAATCGAAGCAGGAGCTCGACCTCAAAAGGCATGAGATCAAACTCACCGAGGAGCAGATTGGCAGCAACTCCTCGTCATCGGTACGTCAAGCCTGACACTCAGGTGTGAAACTATTGCTAATTCTGTACTAGATCATTCAAGCGGTGGAGGAAATGAAACAGACCATCGCTCAGCTCAAGGAAGACATCAAGGCGGCGAAATCTCGACAAGAGGAAGCCAACAAGGACGTGAAGCGCATCGAGCGCGACATGAGCGAGTTCAGCAGCAACAAGGACAGCAAACTCGCCGAACTACAGTCATCACTTGACAAACTCAAAAAGGCTTTGAACAAAAATAGCGCTTCCATCAAGCCACTGCAGACCGAGATGCGCGAAGCCATGGTCGAATCTGAGCAATGCGGTAGCGACCTTGCGGCAGCACAAGAGCAGCTTGAGGAGGTTCAGACCACCCTGCAATCTCAACAAGCAGAGATGGACGAGTTGTTGGCTGAACAATCTCGTGTCCAGGTAGGTTTTCTCAGCATGATGGTTTTATCAATACTGACATTGCTAGGACGCACACGACTTAGCTGCAGCCCATCTGAGGGACGAGCAAGCGAAGTTGACCGGCTTCGATGAAGAGCTTCGTTCGCTCGAAGACGCTATCAGATCAAAGAACTCATCCATCACCGAGGGTGGTCTGGAACAACAGAAGCTCGGCCACGAGATCGAGAGGTTCCACAAAGAACAAGAAGGTGCTGCTAGTCATGTCAAGGCGCTTGAAAAGGAATACGAGTTCATCGCAAATGACGCGGAGCTCTTTGGACGCACCGGAACGGTTTATGACTTCAAGGGCGTGAACATGAACGACGCAAAGACCAGGCGAAAGTCGTTGGAAGAACACTTCCAGCAAAAGAAGAACAAAATTAACCCGAAGGTCATGGCTATGATTGACAATGTTGAGAAGAAAGAGGCGAGTCTCAAGAAGAATATGCAGACGGTCATCCGCGATAAATCGAAGATCGAGGAGACTATCGTCAAGCTTGACGAGTATAAGAAAGAGGCGCTCCACAAGACATGGACGATTGTCAACCGCGATTTCGGCCAAATCTTCAACGAACTGCTTCCAGGCAGTTTCGCAAAGCTGGATCCTCCCGAGGGCAAGACAATTTCTGATGGTCTGGAAGTCAAAGTTATGCTGGGAAAGGTGTGGAAGCAGTCACTAACAGAGCTAAGTGGTGGCCAAAGGTATGCGCCCGCCCGTACTCCCCCGAAACGCATGCGCTAACATCTCTTAGGTCACTTATCGCACTATCTCTTATCATGGCTCTTCTCCAGTTCAAGCCTGCGCCGATGTACATTCTGGACGAAGTTGATGCTGCGCTGGACCTGTCACACACACAAAATATCGGTCGTCTGTTCAAAACTCGTTTCAAGGGATCGCAATTCATCGTCGTCAGTTTGAAGGACGGCATGTTCCAGAATGCGAACCGTATATTCCGCACACGGTTTGTTGACGGTACAAGTGTGGTACAAGCCACATCAGGGTCTGGATAGTCGTTGATGTTTTTGTAATGCGTTATGAGGCATGCTTTGGATACCCGGTGCGCATGGGTTGGATTGCAGTTTGGGATGCTATCGGTATAGGCTTGCATATGATGGTGTTGGCGGAGTCTTGTTTATGAAACTAGTAGCCTAGTTGGGAAGTTGGGTATGCGCATCCCTGGCTCTACTGGCCGCTTCCTCGTTACATGTCTTGTCGTCCATGTCTCCTTCCCGATGCGGGAACTGAAGGTACAGGCTTTCTCTACATCCCAGGACTGAACAGCACCATGTTTCCTACCATCGCGCGTTACCTATTTTTTCTGCGCACACATTTACGACATACCTATTGGCTTCATCGACGAAACCACTGACAGATATATCCTCAGCTGAATGCTTTACCGATCGGGCACGCTTGCGTCCCGTCTGCACTAGCGGCATCTACCGCAGGCCCACCCATGCTGTCGGCGCCATTGATTAGGGCCCTTGCAAGCGATACCTCCACGCATTCCTCCATCAACACTCCGGAAGTATCAGGGCTATTCGCATCCTCTGCTCACGATCTCGGCAGCGTCTTGGGCCCGAGCTCGCCGACTTCTCTGACTAGACACTACACTTCACTTCAAGAGCATGCCGACCAGATTACTGGCACAGAAACGGCAGGGAAAGATGAAGGACTCACTCCAAGACAAGTGACCAGACGGGAGGGGTTTGCTTGGGGCCAACGACCAAGCCTCGAAGATGAGAAGAGGCATAGTCGTTACCAGATGCCGATGGAACAAGAACGACAAAGTTCACCTCCACCACTAGACGAAATCATTCGCAGAACGACCATCGACGATGCAGATGATCTTCAAAACATCAAGCTTCGTCACATGGATAGTATAGAATCACACGCTTCTGGGGTTACCTATCCGGCCGCTTCCATTTCTACGTCTGTGGAAACTAGTGATTCTTATGTCCGCGATAACAGAAGATCTTCTATAGCGGCCTTCGCCAAAGGCATCGTACAGCATGTGCCCAACTTGAGAATGCCACGTCCTCAAGAAAGCAAAGAAGATCAGCAGCGACGAGACTCCGGTGATGGAGCTTCCATGAAGCTGCACAAGAAAGATCGTGTGCTATCCTTCGCACCACTTCCGCTTGTCAAGTCGAAAGAGTCATATGAGAAAGGCTCAAAGCCATCCGTTGTAATCGAGGAGCCATCGGCACCCGTGGATACTCCCCCAACAGCAGTGAACAACGCGACTACACCGCCGAACCCACACTCGACGTCAAAAGGCGGACTCCGAGACCGCAGGAAGGTCAACCTCGATCTTTCCATGCCAGCACAAATGCCAGATCTACCCGCTCGCGGTCGCTTACCCGTCGATATGATGGGCAGCCTCGGTGCCCCACGTTCGAGAAGTCCCAAAACGCCATGGGTCCGGAAAGAGCAGCCACAGTGGGAACCAGCCATGATGACCAAGTCTGCACCGATTCTCGAAGAGGATTATATTCGCAACAACACCTCAGCGCCGAGGAACGACAACTATAGTGGCATAGGTCTTTTACCTGGTGCCAACACGCTCTTCTCTTCGCAAAGCCCAAAATTCGAACGACCGCCGGCGAGGGTGAGGGATCGGTGTTACATCAGCCGTCCAAAGTCCAAGAGAACGAGAAGTGGCAGAAGTGACAAGAGTGGCACTAGTGCAAGCGATTCAACTCTAGCTCGGACACCGGACAGTAGTTGGACCCCAACAGAAGAGAGAATTTACCAAGAACACCAAGCTCAAACGAGATCAGAGCTGCGAAAAATTGCTAGTGAGTCCAAGGCAAGTCGCTCACGGCGCTGGTATTGGTTAGGTAAAGCCTCTAGCGAGGATGCTCCTTCTTCTCCTAGACCTGTAGAGCCTCTAAGTCGTCGCTTCTCGATCAACCCATTCAGACGGTCAAACAGAATCTCGGACCAGATGGATGCAGAAGTAAGCAGCAAACAACAAGTTCCATCTTCAGTTCATCCTAGTCGCGGCAAACATGTACCTCCATCAACGTCCCTCGCACAAATACCTGTCCCACCTGCTTTCATCCCACCGGGCGTTCAGCGTGTACCGACTCCGCCCATTTTCGATGCCAATGGCGAAGTGAAGGGCAAGTTGGCAAACTTCTTCTTCGACGCCCAAGGTGGCGGCGCTATGAATGTTCGCACCAAAATCAAACCTAGTCCGGGAGGTTACTGGGACTCTGATGCTTTGCTCATGAGCCTGTCAAGCGACATCGACAACCACGAAGACAACGATGAAGACGAAGGCCCCGAAGGCCCACGTAGCGATTTCGTGCACACACCCGTAGATTTTGAACCAAATGGCACACCGGGACTTACAGCCATTGTGAGCAATGTGCAAGGAAATAGTTCAAGTTACCTCGGCGTCAAACCACCAGCCAGCCCTTCGCTAGCAGCAACGTCTCCGATGCTGGGCCATGATGGCTGGTACCGTATTCACCAGTCGCATTTCCCTGATACACCAGACGAACGCACTCTCACAGCGCTTGCCCGACAAGAAGAAGAAGAACGCCGTAAGTTTGAATGGCTCGTCCCTGAACATCTTCCTGATAGCCCTTTGTGCCCTCTGCATGCAAAGTATAGGGGGCCGAGTGCCGGCTTGTGTTACTGGCATGGACGTAGGTCCGGTAATAATATTAGGAAAGGTGAGTATGGCAGGGCGGGAGTGAAAGCTGCTAAGAAGAGTATAAGTGGGGATGGTGGACATAGCAAGGATGACTATCATGCTGGAGATGTAGGGGTTGTCGGGACGCCGGGACTTGCGGGAACGCCGACTAGGGAGGTGAAAAAGAGGAGATTGATAAGTTTGTCCAGTTCTTAACTTATCGAGTCCTTGGTCCGTAGGGCGTAAGGGTGTTGGAATGATGACCACGATTCTATGAGTAGCGAACCCATCACGCTTGCAAAAAGACACGAGTATACATGCCAAAGTATATAAAGTCTACAAATGCAAAACCGTCTACAAAATCGTTGTCGTTGTACTTCGTCAAATACGCCAGTGCGTGAGTCCGTCGATATTGAGACCTGGATACTCCGTGCCCGGACTCTGTTGTAGCCTATGACCTCTCGTATGCCTCGCGAGGCTTCGGTGTCTTACCAGCATCTTTCCACATCTGTTCTCTTTCGCGGAAGATCTGCTGTGCCCATGCTTGGACCTCCTCGCTCTTGATGCGTCCTGCGACCCACTGGAACTCTCCTAGGTCTCGCTCGCAGTTTGATTTGCGCTCGTATTCTACCATTTGAACCAGGAGCTCGATCTTGTCAATGTCGTGTACGAAGAGAGATTCAGGAGTTTTGCTGTCTTCATATTCCTGCCATATCGCCCTAATGTCCTGGCCGTTGAGTCCCCCGTTGAACTTGCCCAGCAGGGTGGTACAGATGTAGTCCATTGTCTCGGCTTCTCTCCTGCTCTTCTCCTCCTTCGAAACTCCGTCTACAGGTGTGATGTCGCCGACAAGCGCCTCAGCCATGTCGTGGATAACAGCCATGCGGCAGCATCTGGCAATATCCAGTTTCGAGCTCAGAGACGCGGGCGCCATCATGGTGAGGATGCTCATGCGGTACATGTGGTCGGATATAGACTCGCCGTCTCCAATGTGGAAGCGCTGCCATCCTGCGCGTTTGGTAGTCTTTAAGCGCTCGAGGAGGTGGAAGAAGGGGACGGGCGAGTCGGTGTTCTCAGTGTAGCGGAGGTTGTTTGCTGCAAGGACTATAGAGCGCGTTAGTCATGCAACAAAGAAGACAAATGAGGAGTAAGAGAGGTGTCGCATACGGACGAACTATCGCCTGTTCATGACATACCGCTCTCGACTGACCAATCACTCTGCTTTACTTTATTCGCGTCAAGTACGCCGGCGTTGGTGTCGGGCACGCCATTGACCTGAGTTGCCTCGTCCACTGTCATGGTTGCTTGATGTTACAATTAGAGACTGCGAGGACGTGTGCTTATAGAGGCGCAATTATGTGTGCGAGTGACGTATCAACGGTGACTGTTTGGTAAGAGAAGGATGGTGGGACAAACGGGGTTTATCGATTGCTCCCGCCTTGGCAAACAACGCAAGGGTCCGTCACACCGTCACACCGCAACACCACGCCTGCAGCTCGAGCCTCAGCATTCTCTACGAGGAACACTGCGCGAATGTATGCACTGCGATCGCAATCATGTCTCGCCCGCCGTCAACCGCCTCTACGGCCACCACGGCCACAGCAAACGGCCATTCGCGTACCTTGTCGGTCAAGTCAATCCCCAAACCCCAAGTCGTGAATCCCATATCTACGCCGGATATTAGACTCTTCGTGACCAACCTGCGATTACTGGATTTCGATTTGCGAGAGGACTGGCCCGGCATCACAGTACAGACTTTCTCTGCCAAGAATGCAGACCAGCGACAGAGGATTGGTGGGACTGAATGGGCCTTGTTTCGCTTGTTCGAGATCTGGGATGCCAATGAGACGGCGCAAGTATGTTGGGACAGAACTGATTACTAACATGTGGTTGACCTGGCTGTAGAAACTCCAACCCTTCTTCCCACCACTCGAACCTCTCCAATCGTTGAACCTCCGCGCTGCGCTATTCCGATGTCTAAACGAATTGAAGAAGAACGGTGTCCTGGGACGAGAGTCTGTGCTCAGAAAGACTATGTTGGACGAGTGCAAGGGCGAGAAGTTCTACGAGATATTGGCCATCTTCTCCAATGCGGTCCTCAAGAAAGTTCTCGCAGCGCGAGATGCAGGCGATGTAGATGATGCAGTCGCGAGAAGACTGGCGACGGCGACGATGCTCTCGGGCGAACAGCAACGGTCATTACTGCCTCTGGCAATCGCGCACAAGGCGTCCCTAGTCAATGTGCTGAGACGGAAAGAAGAGAAGAGGAAGCAATACATGGAGTTCCATGGCCTTTTGGATAAGAAGGCTGAAGACATAAATCGCCGCATACGCAAGACCAAAGACACCCCCCACGCACAGAAACCGGCCGTGTCACAGAAAGAAGCCAATGCCGTCAAGAAGCAACTCAAGGACAACTGGATTGGAAACCAGAAGTGGTTAGATGTAATGTTGCGGGGCGACAATGTCCAAGCGGAGGATGCATTTCTTACCAGCCGTTTTGACAAAGTCTGGCACATGGTAGAAAATGGCCGGAAGCTGGACGAGGTCGCGCCTGAGACTGGACTACTTGAAAATCTACAGGCAAGAGTGCATGAGCAACAAGAGAGATTGCAAAAGTGGAAGGCTTTCCATGAAGAGCTACAAAAGGATGAATCCGGGAAGGAGACATCGGGAAGCGGACAGACAGCCGCGAAAGCAAAGGATTTTATGTTCGATGACCACTCACAGTACCAGCTGCCATCAGCGAAGCATGCGATGGAGTCTGCAAAAATAAGGCGACCGGCTATGCGAGCGGAGTTCCAGGACATTCTATCCCACATGGACAGTGAGCTGGCTCGCGCTGCCACAGTCCGGGCTAGTGTCAGACCTTCAATCATACATCATAGAAGTACCTCGTCGGTAAAGACGGCTCGTCCGCCCCTACTCACCAGAAAATCCACCCAGACCGAGGCGATACGAAAGGCGCCAATAGTTCCAGCCAAGCCTGTCAAACTACAGTCGCCTTCAAGACCAAACTCTTTGGACCAAATTCCGATCCTGCCTCGACCATCACGGCACCTCGCATCGGCTGCAACACCATCCGCAGATTCTGAGGCTACGCTCATCGGCAATACATCGGCATCGAGTGCCACGATTAACTATCGTGATGATTCGCCAACGGAAATTGATCAAGAAAGCACACCAGTATCAGCGACCGCACCCCCAGCTTCCGAGCCAGCCGACGGGACTTGTTCCCCAGAACCTACCATCACTGATCACTCTGAGCAAAGAGCAGAATCACCAGATAATCTGTCTAAAGCCTCACCGGAACGTACCTCTGAACCGCCAATCCCAATCTTTGACCCACCAGAAGTCGATGCCGAAGAGGCACTTGCGGACCAGATCATCAACTCTATCGGTAACGCAACCCCATCTCCAGTCAAGAAACCCCAACCACGCATGTCCCTCTCGCTCATCGAACGTACACGCATGACAATGGCGCGAAGTCAATCCTATGAGTCTGTTCCAGAGTCACCAGATCTGCCGCTTCCGTCTATGGGCCCTCCTGCGATCCCCTCCATCACGGGAGATGAAGATGGCGACCGACGTGCAACACTGGCAGAGCGCACCCGACAAACTATGGAGGCTATGCAATCGAGATCCCGCCCCTCCGAGACGGACACAACAAAGAAAGAGAAACGCCAGTCCAGCCGCTCATCCCTGTTCCCTGTCAACCAGTTCGATACGCCACGGACTCGTAAATCTTTCGAAAGCTTGGAGCAGGCCAAGTCGGAAAGTATTGAGCGTACGCCAACAGAGCAGTTGTTTAGCGACGAGATAGACTATGACAGGGTGTTCAAATCTAGACCGAGGATTGCCACGAGTCCGGTTTGGAGTCCGGATGGTGCTGCTGGTGGGCAAGAGGAGTTTGATGATGAGGATCCGGATGGTGTCACTGGCATTGATCTGGGAGATGTGGATCAAGATGATGATGGAGAAGAACAATTCAAGGAGACTTGGATGGACAGCCCTAGTCATAAGAGGGGGATGAGGAGTATGAAGTATTAGTTACGGAGAACTGCACCCAACTATGACACATTGTCACTCATTGTAACGTGGACTATCTTTGATCATGCTCATTATCCCTCCATGATTTTATTCTCAAATCATCTCTTCGGCTGCCAGTTCTGCAGAACAGTGCTGCAGATTCCTCAACTGCTTGTTCGCATTCACAGCCACTCTTTCACATATATATAGGTGCTCTGCTCGCCACGTTTAATCATGCCGTCCGTCGTCTCGGTTCGTGTCATATTCTGGATAGGATCAAAGCATTCAGTCTGAACTGTAGCATTACATGCTGGATAAAGTTCGCGTGTCGTCATATCACAGAACATCTGCTCATGTTCGGAGAAGAAGTCGGGTCCGATGCTGCCAGTGCTTTGGCAGACTTCCACAGCACTTTGCGTCACATCATGACTCTTGACTAGTACTCTCTCGAACTTCATTTGGAGTGGGTGATCAGGGGAGGGAAAACCGTTTGTGGAAGCCAGGGATAAGGCTGAGGTGCGTCGGCCCTTGGATCTGGAAGCACCGGACGATGGCCAGTATGACGAAGACGATCGCGATCCAAGAAGCGAGCGACGTTTCGATGGGCCATCTGGGCATTTGTCCGAGAGACTTTCTTTGCAGCCTAGAGTACAATCAACGAAGTTAGTAAATGTGTCACACGATGTTCGGATACCGAGGTTTACTGACGTTGATACCATGAATCGTCAGTTGTACACCTCTGGTCGTACATCCTGATGATATCATATCACTCCTGGTATGTAAAGCGATCGTCTTCGCAAATTCCGGGATCTGTCGTGCTGTCTTTGGCTGTTAACAGGAACGGTGGAATCGACATGGAAGTCAATCGTTGAGCTTTTGAGAGTGCAGCAGATCAGCTAGGTGTAAAGAACCAATCGATCGAAATGATTACGATAATTGTGAGCGAGGTGAGATGACTGCATGATGAGTTTGAACTAGCGACCGGGACGTGTGAGACGTCACATATTGCGTTCTGACCACCTTTTGGAGAACAGAACCAGACGGACATATGCGATTCGGTTGGTTCAATTTTGGTAAACTCATGAAAGAATTGATTGGTATGAAGGATGAATTGGATCGGCAAAAGATGTTTTTATATACACTACAGAATACACTATTGCTCCTTGCAAGTCTCCCGACTTCCTTATCGTATTGAGTGTCAAGCAGGTCATATGAATAAAGCGAGCCGATTTTCTGCTCTTCTATGAGCAAATACAACCACATGCTGGAATGGCCTGAATTTTTTAGTGCAAAGACGTTCTCACTGAGGTAAAGATCTCGCCCAGCACACGTCAAAAGGAGCCAGAGAGTCATGGTAATCTCGCTACTTAGTTGGTGATAGAGCGTGATAGATCTCGCTGAGCGGAGAAACGCAGAGAGAAAGGTCTCTTGACTTGTGGTATCCGGCAGAATATCTGTGATTTACCAACATCTTTGAGGGAAAGCATGTTTGAGAAGAGGGGAGGGAAAAACGCACATAGTGATACCACGTGGTGCGTTCTTCAGAGGTAAGGCCATGCTGCGACAGGACATGGGCATAAAGATGTGTCTTTTCGTATTTTCTTCATCTCCCAGATCGTGTCTTGTAGCAAAATATTTCACCGAGCACGAGAACAATTCTCAATACGTACCCCTCAGTTCGGCACAACATATGTGGCTCGCTGCGTCGCGCTCTTGAGAAGCAAACTCCATAAGTGTTTGGTGTTCGCTTTTTGGAGTATTTCAACCTTTCTTTAACGAGAAAAGAGAAGACAAAGCTGCAGCAAAACATCCAACATACGGTCCCCTTCTTTATAGCAGAGAGAGCGAACAACAGCACACCCATAGCCCAAAAAAACGTTTGATTTTGTGCAGCCACTCCCACACACTCCATCTGTTTCTGATTTGTCAATTTTTGGTCTTTGAATAACAATTCGCAGAGAGGAGAAAAGCACAGCCTGAGACTGTGATTTTATGCTCTCGCCCAAACACGCTACGTTACGTGCCGGCTTATCGAAACCCCAGAATTTTCGTATCAAGAGAGACCACAGCTAGCAAACATGGAAAGACCTTTTCACCCTTTTAGATCTCAGGGGAGCAGGTTTCCAGTAACCCATGGGACACATGCTATCTGTGTTTCTTGTATGGAGGAAAAGCTTTCCAACCGGCCGGCTCATGTACATTTTGATTTGAGGTTTGGAGAAAGAGTTCAGTCCATGAAATCTGTGCGAGGTATGTTTTGGTACATCAAGACAGAAGAGTTTGTTAGGAGGGAACGGAGACGCATTGGAGGCAGAGATGAATACTTTATATAGACTGCTGTAAAGCGGTCTGTTGATCGGGCCACGCAGCTAGCCTTGGCTAGCAGAGAGACGATGACGTTGGTCACCAGCACAACAAAATACATATATGAGCGGCTCGCGAGTGACAGAAATTTCAACAATTGTTCTCCGACTGGGAGTGTACGCCATGCAATGCTATCCCACCTGAAACGTCATTGTCTAAACGCCTGGCTTAGATACGATGTCACAACTCTTCCACCTCTCGCTCGACACTGCTCATCCTCTCACTAGCACTCGTTTTCCCCTTCTCTATGCGGAAGCCAACTTCAGTCCTCGCGTCATCCGTCAGCCTCCCCCACTCAAGCAAGAGCCTGAACATGTAAACCTCCATATCCTCTTTCCTCAGCACCTTCTCAGTCCACACTTTGCCATCACGTGCAATCTTCTCCGCTGCCTTGATTTGGCCCTCCATCATGCGTTTGTTCCTTGCCTCAACACCATATCCGCCGAAGTAGGCGAGCGAAGAGAAGAGGTCGTGCAGGCGGAGGTCCACAGGAACGAAGTGTTTCCAAGCGGTGAGACGGCCTTCGTACCATTCACGGAAGAGGGCAGCTTTGAAGACGACGGAGTTGGACTGTAGAAAGGGAATAAATCGACCAGAGAAGCCAGCGCCGTCAGTATCGACCAAGTATCGGTAGCGCCAGTGTTGCTTGAAATCGATAGGATCACCAAAGCCGAACTCGCGTGTCTGGCCGGTGCAGTCTTGCCCTGCGCAGCGCGCGATCGGACCGACAAGGCGGACATCAGTCTTGGTCTCGAGAAGTCTTTTGATGTCGCTCGTGCGTTTCAGCATGTATTCCAGATGGCCGCTATGGTCAGGTTTCGGGAGGAGGATAGGTTGGCGGGAGGTTTCGTTGTTCATGAGATGCACAAGTCGCTGGCGAAGCATGCCTTTCCATGTGCCGTGCGTAGTCACGCCCTCAGTGGTCGTCCCGCGCCAGAAAAGTACATTTACTTTATCTTGAAAGTGAGGATCAGGAAACTTTTCATCAAATCCATACTTGGTCTTTTCCATATAATTCCACGGCGATGGGTATCTGATATCGGCATAACCTGGAGCGCGGCTCTGACTAAAGATTGGGACCATGTCATGAGTACCCATCAGGCTAGCTGGACTGAGGTGCATGCCATGCAAATTGGCGATATCTGGCTGATGACAGGGCTCAGACGAGAGACTCCAATTCGCTATGAAGGCGCCCATCGAGTGACCTTGAGTACAGGTGTGGCAAAAGGATTTCGTATACCAGTGGCGTTCTCTCCGCGCGCGCGATTCGGGTGGGCAGGCGACGGATCCGTATGTCTCAAAAGAGGACTTGATGCGAGCGTCGCTGAAGAAGTTTGGATCCGATCGTACACGGTCAACATCCGGCCACTTTTCCGCACGATTAGCACTGAAATCTTTCGTAGGACGAGAAGGCTCAGGTGTAGGGTACGGTTGCGGGTTATCCAGTGCATCCTGTAAACGTTCGTACGGTACAGCGACACGACTCTCATCATTCAGGTTCAAGGCGAGATCCATATCAGGGAGCGATTGAGCAAATCGCTGTATCATGGTCGCCGCACCATCCATCATCCAACGGTGCGTATCGGGTACATTGTTGAACACTTCCACCTTCCCGTCTCTTATGCGGATCCCACCCACCCCTTCATGCGTGGCCAAGACAGTGGCAGTACGTAGTCGAAGGTCGTCAGCGTTGAAAGATGAGAAGGGTGCCAAGTCTTTTTCGATGTTGTCGTAGTCGTCGATTACAATGGAGTTTCGGCTGATGGCGAAGTGGTACCACTTGTCGAAATTGGGTGGGGGGTCGCGATGATAGCGTTGCCGATAATTTACAACAGCCTCAGTGAGAGATCGACTCCGGTAAGCCTGCGATGCCCATCGATCGTGTTGAACTGTCGCAACGTCGATCAGAGTAGTGATGGGATGCTCGAGAACAGGACCGTGCCGGCGATATACAACGACACCGATGGAGAAGGCGATCAGCAATACGATGAAACCGGCCGACTGGTTCCTGCCCAGACGAACCGGCACTTTGGAACGTATGCGGGTTTCGATGTTGGTGTCTGTGACGAGATAGAGGATGAGCGCAATGGTGAGCAAAGTCAAACACAAAACAAGTCCAACGGTGGATTTTGGTGGAAATGAGTAGGAAACGCCGGTGCCTAGGGCTCGAAGAACGCCGATATATGCAGAGGAAAATGCGGCCAGGAGCAATGCGCTCATAACGCCGTACAATCGAGCCTTTGTGGTCAGTGAGATGGTGACAAGAGGGGCAATGGCAACATACCGATTTGAGAAAACATAACGTCATAAAGGGTATCATCAACGATAAACGCAAAAGACCAAGGAGATATTCAGACGGAAATGAGAGCATCCACTCGCGATGCTCGGGCATAGCGGGGTATATGATAATGCCTGCGACAAGAAGGACTAAAGAAGATGCCTATTCGGAGTTAGATGTGCAGGGGTGTAGAATGGTGATCAACATACAGTAAGTGTCAAGCCAACTAGCAGGTGATTCGAGGTACCATCCTGGAGGTGGATGGTCCAGTCATCGGCCTCGGAGATGCCATCGTCGATCAGACGGTATGAGATCTGGACAATAACACTGTCGAGCAAGAAGGCAAAGAATTGAAGGGAAGGAATTGTAGTCGCTGTCGAATCTGCGATGGGGCAGATGAAGGTGGAGCGCAATGCGCTGGACTTGATGATGACGAGGAAGCTGCTGACGGAGAGCAGGAAAGAAGGAATGATGTAGCGTGTGGAGCCATCGAAGACAAAGCTGTAGACGGAGTCGAGCTGGGTACGTGGGCGCGTGTCAGCACTCCAGGCGGGGTATTGTCGCTGGCTAGGGTGACGAATGCTGTGGTAGAGGGCAGCGACGAGAGGGAGAAATGCCTGAGTTGGTCAGTACGGCTCGTGCAATGGCTTGGACATGCATACTAATGCAGAAGGACCACTGCACTCGACGTCTTTGGTAACGCGGTAGAAGATGGCTATGCGGCCGCAGATTGCGAACAACAGGACGGCCAGCAGGGCGCCGACAGCCCTCACACTCCAGCCTCGCCGTCTCCCTGGCTGGCCTGCCTCTGTCCATATCTCTTCGGCGACATGTCTGCTCTGGACCTGGTTCAGCGCTATGGCGATATATCTTGTCGGCGGTTGCGGCTGGCTACTGCGCGACGACCAGGCCTCAATTGCGACAATGGCGAGACCAGTCAGCAGTAAGACGACGGCGACAGTGTGCAGCGGCTTGTCAAAGGCGAAGGAGTAGTCGACGGGGGTTGCAGTGCTCAAGTAACCGGATGCTAAGACGAGGCCGCTATTGTCTGTCAGCTACTGGCGGTGCTGGTAGCCTAGTTTTGTGCTTTCCACGGGGAGAGGAGCGCCTTTTTGTCCATGACGGCCGCATTCTTCGTGGTTGCGATCTAAATCTGCGGGGGGGAACAGTCGGCGCAGCGAGAGACAGTCGACATGACCTGGTGGTGGACAGAACGACGTGAGACTGTGATTGTGTACTGAGGCCCGCGTCACTCCAGGCACGGCTACGGCTGCTCGGCACCTGCAGCTCTCCAGCGGGCTGTGCTAACGAACCCTCACTAACGGGACGGTGGAGAAGTCCGTGCCCGCCCCGAGTCGACGGACTAAACTGCCAGCTATACGCCAATACGCGTCGCTACGAAGTTTCCCATATACATTGTCCTTCTGCCGCCTGCTGCTTCTACTTTGCAGTGGGCGGGTGATGATACCCTGCAGTCGCCGATCAGGACCCTTGACCACCATCTCCAGGGACCATCCAAAATTACATCACGCTCACCATACGGCTATCACGGCAGACGCTCAACTGCTACGCCTCGCCCTGAGACGTGCGCGACTTGAGATCGTCCCTTTGACATACCACGAGTAGTATGCAGGCCAACCTCAATGCACTTGCACGACGATATTTGCCACCCTGACACCGAGTACATTACGCACGCCTCCGTCGTCATCACTACTAATGTTAGCTTACCACCAATACAGCCCTGCTTGCGAGCAAATGGTGGGGTACATACACGTCCTCACAATACGGGAACATGCATGCGCCTCACTTTGTTCTAGCGCCAAGCTGTCGCGGCCAAGTCTATTCCCGGTGCCATCTCCTGTCAGCACATCCTTCTCGTATTCGTTTGCATCGGATTGGAGTAGTAGACACGAATGTAACGCTTTTCATTTCCGTCTTTCTGATGTGTGATGATCTCAAGACCTCATGGATAGCTATGCCTCCTCGCAGTCTCAATTTCTACTCCCTCGCCATCAGCAGGCTTCACAGCTAATTCGGTCTTGTCCGTCTCATCCGGCTCGACAAGAGAGTCATCCTATGTCTTCCTGTCCACATCCACCGCCTCGGTATGTGCTGGCGACTCGTTCTTACCAAGTACGCCACCATCCGTCTGCTCCATCTGGCTTTCCGGATCATTCGCATGCGCATTGCTGATGCCGATCTCAGCCGTCGAGAACTTATCTGCCACATTACGGTAGGCCGGCACGAAGTTGACGCAGAAAGAGTAGCTCCACGCTGCGACGAAGAACGCCAGTGGAACAGTCATCGCAATGGCAGTTGGCGAATATCCTTCAAAAGGCCTTGCCTTTCCGAGCGTGTCACTCGCGCCAAATAGCAACGGAGGTACGACAGCACCACCAGAGACACCAGCCACGATGAAACCTGAGCCACGCTTGGAATACTTGCCCAGTCCGCGCATGCCGAGCGCAACGATCGTCGGGAAGATGATACTTTCGAAGAAGAGTACAATGTAGAGCATGCTCATACCAGTATTGCCTCGCTCGGTAATAGCTGGGATAATGAAGATGATGCACATGGTCATGAAGACGAGGAATACCCATCGCGGTTTGACAAACTTCATGAGGGCACTACCCACGAATCTGCCCATGGTGAAACAGCCCTGTGCACCAGCAAGGAAACGTGCTGCTGTCGAGTTGTCTGTTTCGCCGCTGGACGTAACTCGTGTCTCGACCACGTAGTTGATGAACGCTCCGGCTATAGCCACCTGCGCTCCAGTATAGCAGAACTGAGCAAAGGTCGCATGGAACAAGCGGTATTGCTTGCGGAAAGGCTTCACGTCAGTACCTGCATGCGTACTCTCAGCCTGGAAAGCCATGTCGGCATCTGCAGAACATTAGCGGCTTTTAACGTCTGTTCTATGGAGCAACCTACCAGTGATCTCGGGAATCTCTGTAAAGTAATACAAGATCGCGAGGGCAAAGACGAAACATGCGATACCGAGATATGTCCATTGCACGTTTTCAAGGGATGCTTGATCGGTTCCTACGTGGTTGAAGAAGACATAGGACCCAAGAACCGGTGCAACCACAGTGCCAATACCGTTGAAGGCTTGCGCGATGTTGATCCTGATTTCAGAATATTTAGGCGGTCCACAGACTACCGCTGTCAGTATATGATAGGACATCTCAGCGACAAGTACGTACCAGCTAGGTAGGGGTTCGCTGCTGTCTCTAGCGAGCCTAGTCCATTGCCGATCACGAAGATAGCTACGCAGAAGCCTCCAAACGAACGGTATACGAGGCATGGCCACGCGAGCAGAGAACCTAAACCATACAGGCACAGTCCCCAGATAAAGGTTGCTTTGTAACCCCAGTGGCGCAGTAGCCAGTTGGCATGTCCGAGTGAAGCAAGTGGGTATGCGCCGAAGTACGCTGCCTGCAAGCCGGACGAGCGAGCGCGGGTTATACCAAGGACGTCCTGGAAGTGCTTGTTCAGGGTATCAATGAGACCGTACGAGAAACCCTGGGTGGTGATCAGTCAATTGCTTCCATGTAGTAGCGCGATGTCATGGCTCACCCAAAGGAAGAAAAGAATGGTGACGAGGCAGAGGGGATAAATGGACTCGCGCAAAGTGAGTTCAGCAGCGCGCGTCCTCTGATCGTCGCGACTGCGCAGTGTAGGCCTCCGGAGGAAACCCATGTTGTGCTTGTGATGCGATAGGAATACCGCCTAGCGATAGGTAAGTTGGCAATGTTGATCACGTTGTGAATTGGACGGAAGAAGCGAGCATGAGTGTTGGGTTGAACAGAGTAGTGAAGTTGGGGCAGTCGCGACGTGGAGAAGCTGCAGGGTCTCGAGGCCTTTCAAGTACCTCTCACCCACGTGAGGTAGCGGCAAGGTTATCGGCCGTCAGGCCATGTGCATGGCTACCAGGTTTCGTCACAAGAGGCTCGATCTCAGAGGTTGATTTATTGAACCCGCCGTTGCAGCCAAGGCGAAGCTTGACCTCATCAAGTGAGTGGGGAGGGGAGAAGCTGGGGTAAAACCTGGGGATTTTAACGCTGAGAAGACTAGCGTGATGCGACGTTGGGAGAATGTTCTGACAGATGATGCATCCTCGGCAGAGTTAGACCGACGACGTGCATCGAGAGAGGTTGCATCGGGTAGTGATCAGCCATGTCGCGTCATGTTTAAGCCGCGTTGAAAAGCCGCAGGCTGAAATACACATGCGTCTGCTGTGACTGTGGAAAGTAAGTCGAGTTCGGATCGCCATTACCATGCTCGTAGGGACGGCAGGAGCATTTAGCGCCACGTAGATATCGCTTGGGCGCTTGGGTGAACCTCATCGCAAGCACGAACGTTGCGACGCCATCATATGAGGAAGATCATCTTAATATTCTAGAAATGCCATGGAAGATTTACCCCTCTAGCCCTTGTTCTTGAAATCCAATCCGCTCTCCTTCCTTACAACTCCATACACACTTGGGATATCTCCTTTATCGCCGATCTCACTCTTCACACCGTCCAACCTTCCCTGCGCTAGTTTCAGCATCTTCATGCTCTCCTTCGCGCCACTGCTTTCCGCCAGTGACATGGCATGTCTTGCATCCTTTCTCGCTAGATCAATGTGGAAGAGGGGTTCCTCGCGCTGGTAGTAGTCCCCTGCCAACATGCGCTGCGAGTACGCTGTGTAAGGGCCGGGAAACATTGTGGAGATGAACGTGTGGAGGTTGTCTACTCCGAGTCCAGATTTTTCAGCTAGAACGTGGCCCTCGGACAGCTGAGAGACCATGTTAAGGATGAAAGTGTTGCCGATGACCTTCATGAGTGTAGCATTTCCTGCTGGTTGCCCTGAGAAGTCGATATTTGCGCGGCCCATCACACCTGTCGTATACGGGACTGCTTTTTCGCAAGAGGCCTTTGAGCCTGCCGACACACAAACCAGTTGGCCATTATCTGCCATGGCTGGGGCGCCGAACACTGGAACGATGTTAGACTCGGCTGCTTGAGTGCAGTAACATGCAAAACCCACCAGGCATGCCTACGAATTCACCACCTTTTTCTGTTATCTTCTTCTCTAGTCCATTTGTTGTATCAGGGTGCACGGTAGAGCAGTCTACAACGAGTTTGCCATTAACACCGGCTTCGAGCATCGCATCAACAGCAGAATTGACAGCTGCATCATCGCCCAGACACATGAAGATGATGTCGGAAGACTTGACTGCATCGCTGATGGTGTCAACAACTTTTGTCTTGGAACCACCAAGTTTAGAGGCGAGATCTTCGGAGCGAGATTTTGTGCGGTTGTAAAGGATCAGGGGTTTGTCAAGGTTGCCCTTCTCAACCAAGTTCTGCGACATTCATTTAGCATGAAATTTGCACGATAGGTTTCGATGCTTCATACTTTGCACATGCCCTTTTCAAGTTAGTGACATGTCGAGTGACAATGGTATATACTTACCCTGCCCATGTTGCCGAGGCCAATCCAAGCGAGTTGTGGCGCCATAATTCCTTCTGGGATCTGAACTGGACGTGTATTTGCGGGTCATGAAGACACAATGCCAAGTGCAACAACTTATACCATTCAGTGCCTCTATCTTGCCTACCGTGAGTAAGCGCTTCGTCATGGTGTTCATCGTCGTCATCCGTCAGTAGACCCGGGGATAAGGGCACAGCCGGGCCGATGTCGGTTACCAGCAAATGACGTTCCCACGCTGTTATCGATGTTTGGGCCCTCGAAAATGCGGATGCGGGCGCACTTCCCCACACAATTGCAGAGTCATACGTCTGCTCCGAGCTCCCAGTTGCGAAAATTCGGTCTGTGATGTGTTCAGCGGCTGGACGGTAGCATGAAGCATGTTCATCTGGAGCAAAGCCCCCGCGAGGGGCTTGGGGAAGGCTACAAACAAGGTGCGTGCGACACAGCGATTCATAATCGTAACCATACTGACAACAAGCAGCTTCCCAAGCGCGATGACAGTCGTAAAGTCTTCGAAAAGATCCAACATGCGCGTCTCTCCACGTCCACCACCTACGTGCGGAAATCATCAAGCTCAGCGAAAGAGCGACAGCGCGCCGAACGCCAGCAGTTGACGCGCCTGCTGAAGGAGTCGCCCGGCAAACGCGATGCGCGCAACTTTCTGAAGCAATTCGATGCGCCCAAGAAGGGCAAAGCGACCATCGCAGTAAAGGCCAAGGAGCTGGTCAGCGAGAAGATACACAACGAGTCGGGTTCACTGCGAACAGGCGTCAATTTGGGCGACTTGTACAAGCCGACCGTCTTTACGCGCGAGCCGCTCCCGGAACAGGAGTATCAAGCGGAACAGAAGGACGAGCCAACACATCTGGCACTTGTCAAACTTCGCCAGCCACAGACGCTTGACGACCGCACGTTGGGAGATATCGCGTTGACATTGAGTCAGATGGCACAGCTAGGGCTCAGTACCGCTGTAGTACTGGATTGCGACCACGACACCGGCGCCTACAACACAGAGTTCACGCTGGAATATGGAAACATGGTCAGAGAGCAAGCTTTGCGTTTAGTAGCAGCGCTGGAAGAATACAACGAGCCAGGAGGTCTGTTGGTAGAGGACGCTCTGGGCTGCACTCCATCAGCCAACGACATGCCCAGTACAGTCCAGGTGCGGGGAGGAGTAGAAGTTCAGCACAGCTACCTACTCTTCCCACCAATCGACGACGGTGTCATACCAGTCATCACGCCCTTCGCCTACGACACAAATCTGAAAAAGGTTAGGGTTCAAGCAGACGACGTGCTTCTTGCGCTTGTCCGAGAGTTTGCTGGCCTCGCCGGTCAGACAGGAAGTAATGGCTCAGTCGGCGGTGTACGGCATAAAACACAAGACCTTGTGGAAATGCCTATCTTGGACCGCATCATCATCCTCGATCCGCTTGGTGGCATACCATCTGAAAAACGAGCAGATGGCGCCCATGTTTTCGTCAACCTAGAAGCCGAGTATCGCGATATCAAGAAGGAGCTCCTGCAGCTATCGTCAGCAATCCCGGATGACAAGACCCAAAATGCAGTATCGCTTGGTACTGGAAATCCATTCTCAAAGTTTGTCGAGGAAGAAGTGGCATCAACACCAGGCGCAGAGCCACAGCAGATTAGCAACTCGGCTCCGATGCGCCATCTGAAGAATCTCGACGTGCTCGAGCGCGGCCTAAAACTGCTACCTCCATCCTCCTCTGGCCTCGTTCTCACGCCGCTAGAAGCTGCAAGGAAGGCTATACCCGATGATGCGCGCACCTCGCCTGCGAAAAATCCTCTGCTGCACAACGTGTTGACCGACAAGCCGATGACATCCTCGTCGCTCCCGACATCACCAACTTCTCGTTTCTTGGGATCGACTACACCAAACCCTGCCACGTTCTTCAAAAAAGGCGTACCCCTTACCATGATTCCAGACCCGCGAATTCACGGACCATGGCAGCCACCTTCTGCAGCAAACCCAAGCATAGAGCTAGCAGACGACCCGCGCATCAACTTTCCCAAACTTGTCGATCTTATCGACGACTCATTCCGACGAAAACTCCATCCCAAGAACTACCTTGATCGTATCCGCGGCCGTGTTGCCGGCATCATTGTAGCGGGTGACTATGAAGGCGGCGCAATCTGCACATGGGAGACGCCCAAATCTCTCCATGGACTCGACTTTCCTGTCAACCCATCCCGAGATTCACCCTACTATGTCCCTTATCTCGATAAATTCGCCGTCCTCACGTCTTCGCAAGGCTCTGGTGGCGTTTCAGACATCGTCTGGGCCGCCCTGACGCGGACATGCTTTCCTGATGGTGTAGTCTGGAGGAGTCGGACCAGCAATCCTGTGAACAAGTGGTACCAGGAGAGGAGCAAGGGTATGTGGAACTTGCCAGGTGATCAGTGGACCATGTTCTGGACTACGCAGGGTGTCGAGAATGGGTGGAACGCTGAGGAGTGGGGTGGGGTGGACAGGCAAAAGGAGTTGAGGAGGTGGGATGCCTATGTGGATGTTTGTAGCGGCATCGAACCGAGCTGGGCAGACGGTATACAGAGAGCAGATTAGGCACAGTACTTGGTGTGCCGTGTGAATATATATATATATATATATATTTCTATGACGCTAAAATCAGTCGTTTTGAGCTGCCAAAAGCCCTGACATATGAGCCCAGCCTTTCCCCAAAAAAATCGAATCCTCATGATGGCGCTGAGCATGTGTGTGCATGTTTATGTGCAGTAAAATGGTGTGCAGTACATATCAGCTAATCCTTGGCTATCAGCTTTCATCATCCGGAACTGGAGGCTCTGAGAGGTGCATGTGTATGTATATACCCCAAGACCTTTCTCTTCTTATCCTCGCGAGTTCAGCTGCGCGAGAAGGGCAATACTTCAAATCGACATGCAAAACAAGCTATGAAATCTATGTTTTTCCACTTCCCAAAAAACCCTTCCAAGTCAGCAGGATGAGGAAACTTCCAAAAAGTTCTTGAAACAGATAACTAAATGGTCTCTGGCGAAGCCGGGTTTGTTCAACAACCCTGTGACCGCTTTATTAAGGAGCTGAAACTCGAGTCTGTCTCGTACCATGCTTCCATTCTTGGAAGATCCTTCCTGACAAGTTCACAAATTACATCCAAAAGTCACGTCGACATAATACCATGGCTTCGGATGCTTCACTGCCTTCATAAAGCAGATGGCCAGATGTTTGTCGGGTAGACAGTCATGAAAGTGTTCAAGTAAAGCTTGAGCGAGTCAGAAGGAATGTATCCATCATCGAGCCCTCTCTTCTCTTTCTTCAAAAGAAAAGGCTGTACACATTGGAATCCACAACCATGTGAACTACGGCTTGCGTGTCTTCGCTTTCAGAAACGTTGTGAAGAACTTTACGTGATAGTAAGACCGACTGGTGAGCTGACATCAAATTCGAATGCGGATGTTGTCAGCATGCTACATCTTACGAATCAACCTGAAGAATTTGAAGAATTTCTAATCCACAACCAAAAACAACGGCGGCTGTAGCCATGGCCGTGAGTACTGTTCTGCTTCTCCAGATCACACCTAAGGACATCGTATTCCTAACTTGTTGTAAGCAGCATTTTTACCTCAGATCTTAATGATGTCTCAAAAGTACTCCATGCAGAACGCAGTTACAAAGGCTCCACAGTCATGCTGTGTGCTTTATGCTATTGTGGACTGAGATATCATTTTACGATGAGCACATTCGTAGAAGTACCATCTCTTCGCGGGGTATCTCTTTCGCTTGTAAGCTGACGTCCAAATTGAATTGAACCTCGCCGATGACAGCTTGGCCTGCCGCGGTATGTCCAGAGGAAACATGAATACTCATGGGCAGAGTCCTGATATTGTCAGAGTCATCTCCTATCCTCGCAACAGCGTCAGCAGCGCAAAAGCTGCAAACTCCGCCGGCGTGTGGCAGGGAACTCACCGACTTTATCGCAGCAGACGCAAGACGCATCCAGGGCACACCGATGCAATCGCTTCACATATCGCAGTCCACTTCGAAAATACGGACCCCTGTCATGATGTAATCGAGATCGCCCAGAACGGGGGTGCGCCTGGAGCCCTGAAGGGACGCGACGCGACGGCCGTGGGGAACCGAACTACAGCCGCCAGGGACACCGCCATCACACCATAATGCAGGGCGGAGTGGCCCAGCGCGGGCTTTGGGGGTCTCGGAACGGAAATGCATGGTTGCTAGTACGCGAAATAAGTTTCGGTGTTTGTTGATGGGAATTGTTAATTGGAAGTGGTCGTCGCTGGAAGTTCTTGAACGCGTTCATTCCTCCTTCCACATACTCCAAAGTCAATACCTAATTCTACACATACGCCGAATCAAACGATCAACATGTCAGACAACATCTACGTAAAGAGTGTTGCAGGAACCTGCATTACCTTCTCTTTCATCCTCGCTGGTAAGTCTAAGGTTCAACATTACCCAAATTCACTGCTCATAGACCTAGGAAATGCCATCACACAGTCCTACATGACCGTCCCTGCGCTCCTCGTCAACTTCCCACGCGCAGGTACACCCGAACACAAAGACCGCGCACGTCTTCTGGGCCGTCAGTGGCCTCTCTGCTGGACAGTCGGCAACCAGTTTTTCCGTCCCATTTCAACTCTGGGATTCCTGGGTTACGCCTACGCTGGCTACTCAGTCTACCGTGAGGGCATGCTCGCCCGCAGTGACTGGAAGCTTTTTGGTGTTGCGGCCGTCATGCACTTGACGACCATCCTGCACTCGGCTATCAACATGCAGCCGTTGAACGACAAGTTGGAGGCGTTGGCGGAGAGGAGCAACGAGAAGGAGTTGGGTGAGGCGGAGAGCATTGCGACAAAGTGGGCCAGCTGGAACAGGCTGAGGTTGGTTACCCCAACCATTGCTGGTGGCCTGGCACTGTGGAACTTGCTCTCCTTGTAGATAACTGAAGTAGTTCCGACCTTTTGATTGCAATTAGGAGTTCGGCCATTGTGCTGCCTACCACATCGTTTTTGTATGTGTAGGTGTTTGGAGTCTAGCATAAGATCAATGAAGCGTACGAACGATTGAGCACTTCAAATTTCCCATAAAAATCTGTGATTCTTATGCAACTGAGGATACCTGTTATAACGCCAACATATGGACTGACATTATGCCAGACATACAGATACATGTAGATCTGGGACGAATTTTGATGCTTACTGTGTTTGATTCGCTACCAGCGGGATCTCAGAGTACGATGGTGACGCAGCTGAGAACTAAGAACATGTGCGTCAGGAACGATAAGTTCAGTAATATTGGACAAGCATTGTTTGAGGATCATGAATTCATCGAAAACTACACAAGACACCGGGACAAGGGTCAGGATCCCAAAAAGCTCAAAAATCCGACGCTAGAGGCTTATCCCCGCCAGCATATGGAGGCACCATCATCTATCGCTTGATAGCCTGCCCCTTCCACCCACTCCTCTCTGCCAGCCAAGTCTCGAAATCACACAGCTTAGGCTCCTCCTTCTTCAGCTTGTTGATATCACAGCCATAGCCCTCAGATGCAAACCAACTGATCATGACGTTCACTTCGGTGACGGCCCACATAAGCGCGGAACCAAACATGCCGTAGGTGGCCGGCACTGGGCTGCCAATAACACGCTCGAAGCATCCACTCATCTCGTCCATGGTGAGCTCACTACCGGCGAGAGCCTCGGCGCGTCCGTTCCATTCTTGGTTGTTGACGAAGGCTTTTGCACCGAAAAGGCCAATGTCTTCAACAGACACCCACTGGTTGGACTTGCCCTGCAATGTATCGCGAAGTGCGGCAAGGAAGACTTTGCTTGGGAAACCAGGTACTAAGTTGTCCATGAAGGCAACAGGTCGGAGAATGGTCCAGCCCATGTTCTCGCCATTCTTGCCGGCCTTCTCGAGAAGATGCTTCTCGATCTCGTACTTGCTCTGGAAATGTGGGATGGGTGTTGGGTTCTCGAAACTTCGCTCGTTGCCGCCGCGGTCGACGCTGGAGTAAACGAAGTGCGTGACGCCTTCTTTAATCGATTCGTCGATTAGAGCGTTACCCTGCACAACCTCGCTTTCGTGGGTGACATTCTTGCCTAGAGAAACTTGTACAGAGTATACACCCCAGATCTTCTCTTCTTTACCGGCTTCTTTGAGTGCAGCCTTAGCTGATGCGAAGAGCGCTGGGCAATCGTCCAAGTTGCCCTGCACCAACTTGACGTCGGGGTGACGCTCGACAATCTTCTTTGCAGAGCCGGAGTTGGCGTCACGGGTGACAGCCAAGAGTGTATATTCAGCGTGCGATGGGTGCTCTGCGAGTTGTTCGAGCACGGCTCCGCCTTGTTTGCCAGTAGCGCCAGTTACAAGGATAGCTTTCGTGGCGGCCATGGCGGGGTTGCTTGTTAGGGTAGAAGAGTCGCTTGGCTTCGGAGGGGCTTATGATACCGCTGTAGGTCGAGCTTGTTTTCAGCCTCAGATTGATTGATAAACAGGAAGAACGATTACGACAGAAGAACAGAGGAAGCCTCAATAATATGCATAGCTTCACGTCGACGCGTCGCGCAAAGGATGGGCTGCCGGCCCCGCAACACCTTAGTACGACCGTTGCTTCTGTTCAGAACGCAGCTCCACTCTTCTGAATGCTGATCTCACGACGGAGCTGCAGAGAATGGGGCCCGTACAGCGAATGGTAGTCTTGTCGTGATGTTCCACAACGCCACGGGTCGGTGAGGGACCACACCGACATTGCGGTGATTATGCAGGAGCATTACGGAGACCGAGCTCAACACGACTGGACGCAAGCCATGGAGGGGTTCAAAGTTTGATCACCGGTGTCGTGACTGGAAGCCGCAATAATAGACGGGTCCGTAGATCATAGTCGGGTTATTTACGGCTTGGATGATCATCCGGGTAGATACTGTAGTGCGCCGTCAGAATGATCTTACTCGCTACCAGATTCTAGTAGGAGACGATGAACTAGCGACGCCAGTGGAGGCAAAGTTGGAAAAGTTGGAAGCCGAAACTGCAGACACTTCGGATACGAACATATCGTAGATATCCCATTCTCAACGCAAAGTCTCTGTCACATCATAATGTCAGATCTAGGCTTCACGCCCTCCGAGATACGCTTTGCTACCGCAACTCTTGCTGCAATCGCTGCTCTCGCCCCCATCGCATACTATCTTTACCCATCGCAATCGCAAGACTCGACCAAACACCTCCAGACCTTCAATCATTTCATAAACAGCTACTCGACTCTTCGTCCCCAGGCACTGACGACAAACGCAACGCGAGACTTTACGCATACCTCTCTCCCAGCAGAATTGAACCTACCCACACGCTCGATCCAACCTTTTCGCGAACATGCACAAGTTGTATTCGATATATTCAAGGACTTCCAGGTAGTCCCGCAAGACGACGGACATGGAGGCAAAGCAGTGCACTTCTCAAGAGATACGAACACGGTGGTAGCGCACTGTAAGATGGGAGGCAAAGTAGATAAAGACCATGAACTGGGTGCACAGCTGGCTGAGAGCCACATTACAGAGTGGTGGACTGAAGGCGTACTATTTGTGAAGCTCAGTAAAGACGGACAGAGAGTTGAGAGCGTAAGGGAGTTCATGCACAGTAAGAAGGCGGAGGAGCTGCATATTCGTCTGCACGGAGCCGTGGAATTCTGAGCCAGTGGCCTCAGCAGAACGTCCGTGGTGTTGGACTTGGCATATACACATGACCGACGTCGCTGACAGTCGTCGAATGCATACAGCGACGATCATTGCAGTATCAAAAGTCACGTGGACACGCATTCACATAGCGCGTTAGCGTCCTGAATAGGGATGTGTCGATATACGCTTTGCGCCGGACGTATCATTATTAAATAAAAGAGTTGTTGAACAAGTAGACAGTCGAATTGGTATCACAGCAAGCAGAGATTCACATGTTACTCTTTCGCGTCGCCCTAGGTCTATTCCCTCCCTTGCAATCTCACCACATCCATCTATCAGCTATGTTCCAACGAGCGCTCCATTACCCCTCTAAGCCACTCCAAATCCTCGCGTCTCCCTCTCTATCCGCGGTGCGACGCTCAACAAGTGCACCCTGCAGTGAACACTAGCGCGACTAGGCAGCGTCATAGACTTCTCTACGCGTCTTATATCCCCGCTCTAGACCAAATAACGAAACACCGCTTGCACATCACGTACATGCTTCAGAGTTCCCATGTCCGGCGGAGAGCCGTGATAATGTATCATCAATCACGGAAGAAGGAATTAGAGAGGTATTGGGGGGCTGTAGTGGTGGAACTGGGGATGTGCGTTTTGTTGCAGGGTGGGTACTTGCAACCTGGTACGAAGGTGAGATTGATTGTCTGCATTAGGTTGTTGGTCTGAAGGCAATTCTAGGAAGGTTCCAGGGTAGTCTGTGCAGAAGTTCCTGTTGTCTATGGGGTAAGGGGCGATGCGTTGAAGGGGCCAAATCTGCTGCTGCCCTGCTTGTTCGCGATCAACAAGTTCTGCGGCCATCTGTAGGGCGGCGGTTGTAAAAGCCGACATGAAGGGGCTCCGTCTGGGCGCGAGAAAAAGAGTTTGGTCCTTGGGTGCCCGTTCCGAGACCGAATTCCAAGGTTGGGCCGCTTGCTTTAGCTAGAACTTTGAGGCAGGAACGGGAAACTTCCTTTCCGGCGCATCTCGGTTGTGAAACGTGTGCTTGCCGCGGACCTGCAGATACTGTGTACCATGGTGCTTACACAATTCTCGTGTCGAATCTCAGTGGGCACATCGATAAGTGCGTGTCTCGCGACAGGAATATGTGTGACATGCTGTGGTGTTCATTGGAAGGACAAGCAAAAGCGAGTCAGTCAGTAAGCGGCAAGATCGGAGCGGCCGCTGTCATTGATGGAAGAGAAGCGCCAAAAGAACGGGCACTCCCGTTGTGGAACGACTTGCCCCGAAAAGGCAAGACGTACTTAATCACGACGCTAAGGACTTGTGCACCAGAAGTGGAAGAGCAGATTCTTTGGAAGAAAGACATAATTTCTGATTGAAGTGGTCAAAATCATATTTCGCTATGGAGTGCTCGTAAGACACATGTGTAACGCCACGCACGCAGTTTGCCCTGCGGCTATGCTTCCGGATGCCCATGCTTACTCCCAATCACCAGCGCCAAGATCGATAGCCTTGCCCGCCCTCATGTCCTCCATGATCTTCTCGATACTCCAAGGCTCGTACTTGTAGCCCTTGGGGTAGTTGGGCTCGAACTTGTCCTCATCCTTCATGTCAATACCCTCCACCAGTGACTGTGCACTCTTCTCGTAGTTCTCGTACACGTAGGCCTCAGGGTCGTGAGACCAAACCCACTTGGGAAGCTTGGGCGCAGCACGGCGGGGGTCAAGCTTGACCTTGTCCCAGTCGGTATCTTGGAGGAGTTCAGCGTTGGAGAAACCAAGCTTCTGTGCGCAAGAGTTACGGATGAAGCTGTGTTGTTGCATTAGCATGTGCGTGTAGATCTGGGGTGGTGGCTTACCGGAAGCGAATGTGTACGCGAACAGACTGAGGGATCTTTTCCTTGCCACCAACCTGGAGACAAGAAGCTATTGAGATAGCATCCTCGATGGCTTGGGTCGCACCGTTTCCGGAGGCTGGCAGGTAGGAGTGGGCAGCGTCACCAATCTGAACGACGCGGGCAGCGGGCGAGGTCCAGCTAGGCTGGGGATTACGCCAGAGCAACTCGAAATTGACAATAGTCTTCTCTGGAGTGGTCTCCACAAGCTTCTTGAAGATGGGCGCCCACTTGATCTTCTCCATACCAGGCATTTTGTCCATGCCGTCAAGAACCTCGTCCTTCTCGATGGTGTTGTTCCAAGACTCCTTCTCAGTACCAGTAACGTCGTGGTTCATGATCCAAACCATGACGTCCTCGCGAGACAATGTAAGCGCATATGTGGAGGGACTGAGGGCGTTAGTAAAGGCACGGCTTGTGCAGTCACAAAGACTTACCCCAACCATGTCCTGACGATTGGTTCGTTTCCTGGCATCATCTTGAAAAACTCCTTAACCTCTGGGTCCTTGTCAAGAGCCTCTCTGGGGAAAGCAGCACGCCACATTGCCCTTCCGGACGGCCTTGCGCGCACTTGTCCGCCAACAAGCTTCTGACTCTTCGATCCAACACCGTCGGCCGCGATGACAACGTCCGCCTCGTAGCGCTTGCCATCGTCCGTGGTGCAACCTCCCTTGCCAGTCTTCTCGTCTTCAAAGTAGTCTACAACCCTACGGTTGAATTCTACGGAGACACCCAGGTTCTCTACGGCGCTTACAAACATCTTGTAGACAAGCGGGCGCATTTGGAACTCGCCAGGAGGGGTATCGGGATCCAGCCCTTGTGCGCGGAGGCGGTCTGCCACCTTTTTGGGCCCAATGACAACCTCACCGGAGTGTTTGAAGGTCTCGATCCAGGCATTGTGGAGAGAAATCTTCTTGTACTCCTTGAGCAGTTCAGGCCAATGCTTTAAGAAGCGGGTTGCGCTGAGACCCATGAAGTACATGTCACCTAAGTCACATCATGAGCAATGCGTCAAGACTACAGTTTGAGGATGCTGCTCACCAGCTGTGTTGATGTCTGCGTTCCTCTCCAGCACACGAACATTATGTCCTTTGCGTGTGCACTCAAGGGCAGCAACCAGACCAGCCAAACCAGTACCCACGATAAGTACGTCGATACCAGTGTTGGGGTATGAGCCTATTGGCTTCGACTCCATCGTGGAGTCACGGGAAGTAAGAGCGTGAGGCATGATTGCGGTTTGGTGTGTAGGATGGTTGAGGGGTTGGTGTATCGTCGAAACCAATTCCAGACCAAATTATGCCTGCCTTTCATACATCTTGAGGGTTGCCTTCACCTGCATTCTCCGTTGGGGTACCAGGGAGGGTTGCCGAAGACCCCTCGGATGTCCGAGTGGCCGACATTTCTAGTTGTTGTACTTTCACCCTCGTACGACGGTATGCAGGTATTGGACGGAGCAATGATCATTACACTTGGCGCAAGATTGTCAGGAACACGGCTTGTTTGGTCTTGGACTGATCTCGATGACGACGAATCGTCTCTCGCGCTAGCCAAAACTCCCGATTTATCAATGTCCGTGCACATGCGCTATGGTTCCCCACCAACTCCGGAGGCCAAGCGTGCTCAGCGGCACCCTAAGCCATGTCCAAACGAGATCGAGCTCAAGGTTGCTGTGTTGGACATACGCGCTGATGAGATTCCCGCGGCACTCCCAGCCTATCGCCTGTCTCACGGCTGTATCTCGCTGTTCCACGTGGAGACTTGATGACTGCAGCGATTGAGATCTGATTCATGTGTAACGTCGCTAAACGTACGTCAGCCTTCCTGATGACGCTTAGACTTCATTACTCTTGAATAGTAAAAATCGGGGCGCAAAGGCTGGCTGAAAATCGCACCTTCCTTTAGGGAAAGTTACACGTCGAGAAACCTTTTGGTGTTACGACAGCTGAGAGGCTTTGGTTTCAAGAATGCAGCACGGGGCTTGTGCTCATTATCGAGTCGTTGGATCATCCACGTCGATCACTGACGAGGAGTAATTGTGACACCCTTGCCGGTAACTATGCTGCATGTCTTGATAGTGAAGAGGGTCTCACGGCGCGGTGATATGCCGGCTGCCGACTTAGACCTTGGCCTTGGTATGTGTTGTCATGTGTAGTATGGTACTAGATAGATAACGGTAACTTACCTAGACACGGCGGGCGGGATGGCACGCAACCACTAAACGCGTGCTCTATCAGCTGTATCAGACTTCCAATGCAAGGGGTGGCTGTTTCGATACGCTCGAGTTCATGCAAGTGAACTTAGTCCATGTCGATCTATGTGCTCTCCCGGCGCACCGATACATGTTAGCACAGATCCAAGCTCTTCAATATGTCATAATCGGCGCCCGCTAGCACCGACCTCTGCTCTTCCGCTGTAACGGGAACAGATTCTTGCGATCAGCAAGCATGCTAGTGACATTGGCATCCTAGCAAAATATGGAAATCGGTAGTTTCCAATTTTGGCTATTGGATGAATCTGCCGCCTGTCACCCCAAGCAATGCTTAGGCCATATCGGCTATGCTCGTCCAGACGCCGATGACTTTGGTGCTCTAAACGATTTCGCCGCGGCAGTGGTCCCTGTATGGCTGTACATAAGTCAAGGTCTGGGGAGCCGGACAGGTGGTAGTTCAACTCCAAGCTGTGGTATGATATTTACCAGAATCTCCCACTCTGTAATTTTGTGTTATCACGGTTCTTCCACCTGCACCCCCGCTCAAGACTCTTGGCGACAGTCAGTCACCCTACCTGACTTGGAATCTTCCACACATTCTTTCAACGGTCTCCCGCTTTAACAACATGCACCCATTCACTGCTTACGCTCTTGGCGTTGCGGTCGTCGGCCTCGTCGTGTACGCAGTCGTCGATGCTGTCGGCAAGTACGACAAGAGGTACAATGTCCAGAACATGCCTGGCCCATGGCAGCTACCCTGGATTGGGCGCATTCACGATCTCCCCATCGAGTTCATGTGGCTGAAGTTCAAGGAGTGGGCCGACATTCATGGTCCCATCTACCGGACGAAGATGTTGGGCGCGAACTTCATCATCATCAGTGATGAGAAGATCGCAGAGGACATGCTTGTAAAGAAGGCGAAGTTGTATTCCGATCGACCCGAGATCAAGTCGCTGTTTGATGCGAAGAGCACATACGGCTCAATGGAGTACCTGCCTCTCATGGGAAAGAACCGTAAGTTCGCTGGCGATCCTTGAACGACCCTCGCTGACCAAAGTAGAATACTGGGCTCGTCAACGAAAGTTTACTCACTCTTACCTTACCGGTGCGACCAATGTACGTTACAACGGCATCATGGAGTTTGAAGCCAAGCGATGGATGGCCAGGCTCTTGGAAAACCCCGATGATTTCGGCTTTTCGCTCGAAGACATGTGCTCCAAGGTCATGTGCCAGTTGACATGGGACGACCCCTCACTCAGTATCCCCCTTACACCCAGCGCATGGGGACTGCTCACTCAGATGTCTCCCGCCGGCCCGATCACCAACGTCTTGACTCCTCTCTGGGATTGGGTTCCCGAACCGATCAACCCCTGGAAGCTTCGGGAGCGCAAGCGCCACGACGAACAGCAAGCCTTCTTCATGCAGTGCCTCCAAAAGACCAAGAAGAGCATGGAAATGGGTAAGCAAAGGTCTTGCTTCACCAAGAACTACCTGGAAACTGCCGAAAAGTCGAACATCTCTGGGGATTACGAGGCGTCTTGCGTGATCGGAATGATGGCCCTCGTTGGTATCTTCACTGTCACTGGACCCATCTACTACTTCTTGATCAGCATGGTCCATCACCCCGAATGGCAGGTTAAGTGCCAGGATGAGATTGACCGCGTTTGCGGTAACAACCCCCCTGCCGTCGCCGACCTGCCCAACCTTCCCATCCTCCGTGCTTGCATCAAGGAGACGATGCGATGGAAGCCAACCGTCCCTACTGGTAAGTGTATACCCGACTAATCTTGACACTGAGACTGACTCTGATCTTAGGTGTCGCACACGAGGCCGAGGCCGACGATTGGTTCCAAGGGTACTTCATCCCCAAGGGCACACGTATCCTTCCTCTCGACTGGGCTTTCCTTCGCAACCCTGTCAAGTACCCCCAGCCCGAAGAATTCCGTCCCGAGCGATGGTTGGAAGCCGGATGGCCCACTTTCCAAGAGCCGTTGACTAAGTACCCTGATATCGTCGGCATGACTTCTTTCGGTTGGGGTCAGCGCCAATGTTTGGGCATGTCCATCACACGTGACGAGACGGTGACAGGCTGCGGAGCGTTGATGTGGGCCTTTAATCTCAGGCGCAAGGTCGACCCAGTCTCAGGCAAGGAAATCGAAGTACCGCTGAACAAGTCCAACTCTTTGCTTATCATCAAGCCGGATCCATGGGAGATGGCTTTCCAGCCTAGGAGCGAGAGCCGTAAGCAGGAAGTGATTCAGCTCTGGAAAGAGGCTGAAGCGAAAGACATCCAGGAGCGTGCCGCATTTGCGAAGGCATCTGAGGTGAACATCTTTGTGCAGCTGTAGACAGCTTTTCTTTGTTTGTTTGTTGTGTTGGGTATATCCGAGGGCATAGCTGGAAGGCCTGGCGTTCTTGAGCGTTCTCTTCTTTTGTCTCACCTTATCTTTCTCCTATGTAGTTTTCAGACCATGGCCACGTCAGCCGGCCATAATTTTCAACCTTTTCACCATATTCGATTCTACTATGATATGTTGCTCGTGCGCTGTTGCGACCACAGGAAATGCTGACGGGAAGGAAGCACATGTGACAATCACGGAGGGACACAGCAGCTGACCCTTATCTTATGTTTCGTATCGGACGTTACACATGAGGCTGTAGAGCTCGTATTCGCTATGAGGAGCCGACCAGCAGGCGCCATCTCGGTGTACGGTGTTCCGTGCCTCTCAGCTGTCTCCCGTCATCTCGACGCCAGACGGAATTCCGTTGCTGAGGCGGGCCATTGCAAGTACCTAAGTATCTGGGTAAGCCCGTCAAGAATTTTCCAAGCTCTACGGCAAGGCGGTCTGTGAAGTGGCGATCCTTACGTCTGCCCTGACATGACGGGTGTGCATGGCGCAATTTCCCCTCCGACTACCCCTCCAAAAGTGGCCCGAGCGCGGCCCTTTCCCAGCTCCAGCCTCGACAACTTGACAGTGAGAGGCCCAATCAAGCCGAACGCCCCACACTTGTGCTGCGCCTGTCATTGCTCTACGGAAGGAGCTATGGTGGCTATAAAAGGTGGCTAGGCAATTGCCCCTCTATTGCTCTTCTACTTTTAAAGCTGCCCCTCATCCTTCCCATCAACAACACTCCATCCCCAACACTTCCTCTACACACCAATTTCACATCCATCACAATGTCCAACCCCAGAGTTTACTTCGACATCACCATTGGCGGTGCGCCCGCGGGCCGCATTGTCATGGAGCTTTTCGCCGACAAGACCCCCAAGGTCAGTACCCCGCTATCAGAGTCTTCATCGCTGCTCTTTTCGGCTCGAGACTTTGGAAAGTTGAACCAGCCGCTAACTTTTACCAACAGACTGCCGAGAACTTCCGCGCTCTCTGCACCGGCGAGAAGGGCACTGGCCGCTCCGGCAAGCCCCTCCACTACCAGGGCTCCAGCTTCCACCGTGTCATCCCCCAGTTCATGCTTCAGGGTGGTGACTTCACCCGCGGCAACGTACGGCAACACCACGATACTTCTCTGACGAGCACAAAAGGCTGACATAATCTAGGGCACCGGTGGTGAGAGCATCTACGGCGAGAAGTTCGAGGACGAGAACTTCAAACTGAGCCACACTGGCCCTGGTATCCTCTCCATGGCTAACGCCGGACCTGGTACCAACGGCTCCCAGTTCTTCATCTGCACCGTCAAGACCTCCTGGTTGGACGGCAAGCACGTCGTCTTCGGCCAGGTTGTCGAGGGTCTTGACGTCGTCCAGGCCATCGAGAAGGTCGGCTCTAGCAGCGGCTCCACCTCCAAGCAGGTCACCATCGCCAAGTCTGGCCAGTTGTAGGCGACTGAGTCATTTGAACAAGAACGTGCACGCAATATGAGATATTGGGATGAATTTCTGAGCGGCTTACGAAAACGATGAATCACGACATACCACGTGGCTCGATAAGACGAGACCAGTGGGCATCTTCGGTCTGTCATAGTACTACAGCTAGGAAATGGCAATGATCAGTGCGCAATCTACGTATGCTTGGAATTGTGCCTCGTTTCGTGCCATGATATCCGAACATAACTCGTACTTTCCAACTGCAAAACACTAACTTGATACCAAAGTACATTGTAGTAAAGCCACAATCGGCATCGTGCTCAATGAACCAGATGCGAGCTTAAAAAACGGCGGTGACGGTGCTATAAAACCCAGATTCCATGACATGTGAAATATAAACATCAAATACGGAAGATGTACTTCTCGTATGAACGTGAGAAACAACATGCATGTATATCCCGCACCACAGTTGACCTAAAACGTGCAGTCAGTTTTCCTTCACAAGCCGTTCTCCAAATCGCCTTGATCATAGTCCAGCGCACCTAGAAGAAGAGGTGCACGATTCCTACTACTAAAGCTCAGCATTCTAAGAAAATCGCTACTTTTGGCGCCTAGCTTAGTTTTCGTGCCTTGCAGGTGCATACTTTCACATGCGAACGGGTTGATATCGTTCGCTCGTTTAGCAGGAACATATACCTCGAAGAAGTAACTGTTGTTTGCGTGATTAAGGTTCAGCACTCTGGTTCAGAAACTCATGATTGAATTGTTCTAGTTTGAGCAGTGTTTTGATGGCAGTATCAAATCAACTGTGCAACCTTCACGTGTTGTATATCTTTGTTACCAGGACGCAGGAATATCTTCCGCGAATGGATGCTAGTGCGTGAACATAGAAAGAAGAGCATCAGTGCCAACCCATAATCCAGACGACGATGGTAAAAGATGTCATATTGTGATGACTGGCAGAATATACTGTCCCGTCGCCAAGTCGTACTTTATGCGTCCCCGGTCTCATATACTAGAGCGCTCTTTTCATAGGAACTGCTGCTACGCAACGATGCAGAAAATGCGAATGGAGAAGACGCGAAGCTTATCGAAGTCTGTAACATGCTGTACACTACTGGTTCATCCAGACTGTACCAAGCCTTCTAGTCACGGCGAGGGATATGGCGCGAAGCAGTAGTATCTCATCGGCGATGTACCAAGTGTCGCCAGATGGATGCGTAATTTGTTGAGACCTGTCATCAAAGGATTAGCCAGGGGCTGAGTGCTTGATAGGCGCACGACGGAGGACTTGAGGTAGTAGCCTTCGAGCCAGATAGGGTTGTCTCTCGAAAACGATGGTGTCGCCTCATTTAGGGAGACGTGCTCGGGGATTCAACAAACCCCAAGGCAACATCGTAAAGGTCCTCCCAAGGCTTAGCTGAAGCTGTGTCTTCACAGCCTCGCATAACGTCCTCCTGTTCATGCAATACATGGATGCCTAGAGTATTCGCTTACCCTACGTATTGGTAGGCCGTGGGATGGCATCGCCTCACTGACGTACCGATGCTGTGCGAGGCAAAGTGTGGGGAAGGGTATGAGTCCTTCAAATCGAGTAACAACAGCGCTCTCTCAGTGGTGGAAGCCAGGGGTATGCACAGGCTAATCGTCGCGAACTGTTTGGTCAGTATGCAGCAATCACTGCCCTCCGTGATGGCATCATTACTAGGATCCGCAGTCAGCACCTCTTCGGGGCGAAACGACCACGTCTAGAAGCCTTGGATGCAAGTGATAGACAACTTTAGCCAATGTTCCAACTCGAGTGGAGAGATAAGTGGAGAGACGAAGTGGGGAACAGGCTTCCAGAACCACTGCGCGTGGAATGAGCGTATCGGAGGACGACAGCATCATGTCGGTGGCTTTTCGATATGCTCAGCTCTTACATCTCGACTACTATCGGATGGTTTCCCAAGTTCCATCATCCGAGAGTCACGATACGATAGGGCTCTGCGCTGTTGTTGTTGTTGTCGTTGTTCTTGTTGTCGTGGCTGGTGTGCGAAGCCAACACGTAACTTGCTCTGATTGGCTCTTCAATATTGGTAGTGAAGCAATTTTCTTTTCTTGGTGCAAAGGTACTGTAGAGTGACGCAAGAAGATATAGTTTTAGTCTGTGGATTTCAAGGCCAAATTGTTTGATCGGTACGCAGTAATGTAGCAATGACACGTTGTCGTGCTCTTTCCCCAGATGTTAGCGTGCATGAACAATTAGCTCCTTCATGCTTGCTTTTCTTCCAGCCAACAGTCGTCTTCTTGCAAGTTGATCTCTCAGATGATCGTGCTCATCAGCCGTGGACATTTTCTGGTCCCTGGAATACAGTGGAGAGAGTTAGCGGCCGGGCTGCGTGTATGCTGGTCCCTGCCAGCGCAGCGTGACAATAAGCTGTGGATCGAGGGGTGAATCAGCCATTGCAACACAACACCCGACGATAGATGGCCATCTGTCGCAATGTGCATGGATGTGCAGTTCCGATGTGTGCAGCGTACGATCTAGGTACTAGCTGGCGCACATGACGTCGAGGTGGTCGGGTAGGCAGCAGAGTCTTCCCACCGTCTGGTGATAACGACCGGGACAGCCCTTCTAACAGTCCGTCTAGAAGTCCGTCGGCTTCGCGATGCACGTGGGATGATCAGCCACCAGGGAGCGTCCCGTAGGCGCCCGGTGCCGAGAGGTAACCAAATGTCAGCATCGGGTGAGTGCGCATAACATGGGATGCCTGGCCGATCATGCCGCTTTGTTGAAGACAGATTTTTTGCGTCTTATTTGCGCTCGCTGAGTGAGCACTTTATGAAGGAGCTGAGTTTTCCCAGCGCTTGGTAGGGCAAGACGGCCGTTTGGTGACGCCGTAAGGGCTGCCGTGAGCGTTGGGCGAGGCTCTGGGGTGGTGCAGGTGGAGGGTCAGCGAGTGGCAGCGATTCGCCGGGCCATGGGTAAATCGCTCGATGCAGACAAGTCATGTGGTCAGTCGTGCCGGCGATTTGCTGGAACCGGCCAAGGGCGTTTTGTGGGATGCAGCACTATGCAGGCATCTTCGTGGGCCATGATCGAGGACTCTGCGAGGGATCAACCGGCGTCTCGAACCCCGCGAGACACCTCCCGCAGCTCCCAGGCAGCCCATTTACACGCTCCCACGCCATGCGCTGCGCCTCCATTCGCACTGCACTGCAGCTCAAACTCTGCCCGTGGTATTAATCCCCATCCGTCCTGTCTCCGCCGCGTGCTGGATCACCCTTTCGTGAGCTGTCTCGGATTACTGCGCCGCCTGCTTCACTTGTGCGCTTGACGTTCACGCTTTTACCACGCTCTTACTTATACGCTTGTTTGCGTTGCGTTGCATGGCATTGTCATTCAATCCCCACCCACATCTCCGCTTCTGCATGTTCAGCAAATACACTCATCTAATATCCATCATCATTATCACCGTCCCCGTTGCTCCCATAACACACATCACGTTACATCATGGCGCCGACCGCAAATTGGAGGCAGTACCAGTCGAGTAATAGCACCACTTCTGGCCGCAGCGACAACAGCACCGCTTCAGGCCACAGCGACCACAGCGCTCACAGCGCCCGTTCCTACGACACAGCGCCGACAGAGTACAGCGACCGGAGACCGTCGCTACTGCACAGCGAAACATGCCATCCCCGCGTACAAGGACGCGGCCGGGAACCAGACTACTTTGTGCCTCAACACCAGGTCGACCGGTATCCACAGCCCCCGCCCCGCGCATCCGTCGACACATATGCCTCGACATCAGAAGAAGACCTTGCCGATGAGGTCGATGATATGCCCGACTACGATGTGCCTACATACCGACACGAGCCGCTAGCTTGCGATGCCATCCCTACCACACCTCGCGACTTTGGGGAGCTCTTCCCTACATCTAAGCGCTTATCAATACGCCACGACGACTCTACCATAGACGGAAACATGAATCTGAGGGTGGACACACAGGTCGAGGAACGCGGACACCGGAAACAGAACTACACCCTCTTCCACCTCCGCATGCAAGATCTTCGCACACGTCAATTCTCCCTCCGCCGGTACTGCAGAGAGTCAGGACGCGAAGTCTGCCATTCGACGCGCAAGTATCAGAAGCCCGCTGCGGAGATGCGACCAGTCCTGCAACGCGCAAGCACAGCCCTTGCTAGTTTGGTCAAATCCGACTCTCGCCCCTCGACATCAGCTGGTCTGAAGCGGGCCGACTCCGGCTATGACTCCGTACAGGGCAGTGTTCATGACGACGACGACGATATGCCATCTGAGTCACGCCCTAAAGCTGTGGGCTATTCCAAAGGCCGCGCATTAATACCCACCAATACCATCAAGCTCGAATTTTCGAATTACGCCCATCTCGATGTGAAGCGCCGCGGTGCCAAGTCATACAAGAAGTACGCTTTCGAATACTGGGGCAACAACTATTCCTGGAAACGCATCGTCAAGAAGGAAGGCCGCGAACAACATGAGTCTGTCTCTTACTATCTTGTCCGCGACGACAACGATAAGGAGCCGCTAGCGCACATCTGCCCCGTACGCTTGACTCGTGAAGAGGCACATGAGGAGGCTGCCCGCGGGGGCTGGATCCCACCGTGTTATATGCGTGTTACGGATGACAAAATCCTGTACTCCGACTCGGACATCTCTGAGTAAGTACATACCAGCTAAGCATATAGTATAAGGCAGCAGTGAGCTAACCATATGAACAGTGTTGTTATGGCGACAGGCCTCATGGCTCTTGTAGACGACTGCATCAAGCGACGCTTCCACTCCAAGCAGAGCACAACGATGCATATCCCACTCCTCCGAAATCCTTCCTTCAAGGTGGCCAACCTAGAATACATTGGTCCCAAACGCCTCATCGATGAGATGTTCAACCGAAAACATCAAGACGGTAACTTATCAAAGAGACAGCCGTCGTCAGCACGTCGTGTACCCACATCAGTCTAGCGTTTTCTTTATTTAGCTCAAGTTTGACCAG